GGGAGATGTGCACGCTGCCACTGGGTGTCCACCGATCCTGAAAGCCGTTTGCTGAGCTGCAACAAACACGCACGCGCCCTGTGTTACATGATCCCACTGCCACACAGTCCTCACCCTGCTCCCCTGCCTGCCATCTGCTCTCGGGGTCTGCCCTCCCAAGTCTCCAGGTCTGCCCTGAGCTAGCTGCCGCTGTGGCTCTCAGCAGCCAGGGAACAGGGACTCATGGCTGCGGCTCCACAAATTCCACGCCCCAAGGACAGGCTGAAGGGCACACGCCAGTGATCCTCTGAAAGGTACAAGCCATCGGGGTGATAAAAGGGACAGACAGCATGGCCCAGCCATGCCAAGTGCAATTCAATCTGTAAATGTGGAAGTTTCCTATCAGGCTGTGACCCGGACAAACCCTGACGACCCTGTGGAGGGCAAGAAAAGGCTGGAAGGGAACAGACACCGTGACATATCAGGAGGCAGGAGGCAGCAGTCAGGGCCAGGGCCGAGCATGGGGGCCGGGAGGAGAGCGTGGGCTTGGGAAGACATAGGTCACGGCAACTTGCACACAGACCTGTGTCCCATGCCCTGACCATGTTCCAAAAAAATGGTTGGGCGTGTGCGTGAGCTACTGTGTGTGATGTGGTCACACACACACACACATACACATACGTACACATTCACACATGGACTCACACACATGCACACGGGTGGGCATGTGGCCTGGTACGATACCCTCATCTCACATTGCAGTACCTGGGTTTCAGTCCTGATCTCACGAACCCTCTCGACTCCAGCTGCCAGCTAATGTAGACCCTGAGAGGCGACAGCAATGACAACTCAAGTGGTAAGATCCTTGTGACCCTCTAGGAAGACCTGGATTGGGTTCCGACTCCTCCACTTCAGCCTGGCCCAGTCCTGGCCACTAGAAGCGTCTGGGGAGTGAGCCAGCTGAGAGCTCTGTCGGTCAGTCCCCGGCGGCTCTACTTCACATATGTGATCCCACTCTGCTCGGCTGGGAGAGGACGGGACAGGGGGAGGTGAGTCCCACGGGCACAGCACACCCACACCCCTTCCAAACTACGGTCTGCTCTTCTGAGAGCCCAGCAGGGCTGGCCAGGCAGCAGCAGGTTCCTGCCACCTGGGCCAGGCCCTGCCCCTGTCCCTTCCCACAGGACTGGTCCAGCTCCCACTGCAGCCCCGTCACTATGGCAATGGCACGCTGCCACCACTGCCGAGTCAGAATCTAATTTTCATTACAGCCGTAATAGCGCTTTTGCATAATGGCACATACATTAATACCTAACATGCCTGTGTTTATTTGGTTAAAATTCATGAATTCGGGACTATATAAAAAGTGCTGATGGCTGAAGTTTCTCGGTCTCTTAGAACATTCTCGGGTTGTTTTTCTAAGCCTGTCTCTGCTCAGCAGCAACCTGCTCTTAATCCTGTTATTAATGGGTGAGGGAGAGTGGAAGGGGGGACCAGACAGGGCTGGGGGGCGGCTAGAAGCCGCTCCTGGCAGGGGACGAGTTAGGACACACAGGCATGACCTCAGCCTGTGCGAGTGACCCACCAGCCTGTCTGGGCCTGTTCGCTCATGCAGAGGAATGGAAAACGCAGTCACATGAATGTCAACATCCCCTCACTCCCACCCACAGCCACACAGTTGGCACGTGGGGGATTGACTCGTGGCTGCTGTACCCCAAGCAGATACGGTGAGCCCACTATGGCATCAGGGACCAAGGGCTGGCATGGTGGGGGGAGACGGAGCAGCAGAAGCAGCCCCCAAAGCCAGGGGCCAGCTTGAGAGGCTTCTTGGAAGAGTAGACATTCCAACTGAGCCCTGAAGTGAAAAGAGTTAACCAAAGGAAGAGAGCAAGGAGCAAGTAAGACCAGAAGGGTCCTGGTCCTGGGGACAGGCTCAGGCCTCCAGGGTGACCAGTCTGATCCAAACACAAGTGGGGCCAGCGAGATGCATGCCCAGGTACTCACTGAGCGGCTTCCAGTGCCAGTCATACCTGCTGTGGGGACTGGACACAGCGGATAGAACCCAGGCCACCTGTCCCTCCCCACAGTGTGCCAAGATCTCCTGGGGGGGTTACGCTTCACCCCCACCCTTGGAGAAGCACAGAGGAGGAAGGATTCTGCAGGATGGGCCAGCCGGGGTGGGGGGGGAGGTACAGCTACAGCACTCCGAGAGACAATCAGGAGGCATAGCGATCCAAGGGGACAAGCACTGGGCAGGAAGTGGCCAGGACAGTAGACCCAAGCCCCAGAGAAACATGCAGAACACAGAAGCCACGACCTTGGCCCTCAACCCAAGTCGGAGGTGGAGGGAGGTATCCAAGCCATCAAGCCAGAGTGAGGTGCCCCCAGAGGTGAGGGGCAGGGAGGGCACAGGTGATACTGGGGCCTTGGGCCCACTGAGTCTAAGAGCCTCCTGGTAGAGTCGTCCAGCAGACCTGTAGTGAGCAGTCGGGAGTCACAGAGCCAGGGCTCACTGGGCACGTGTTGGTCATGCCATCCACACTGGGCACCCAGAGCAGGCGTCACAGGTCGGGGGTAGAGCTCAGGACAGGAGGCCGCTGGCCGCAAGGGTCCTGTCCCCACCACTGCCCCACAGCCTGCACCCTTCCCTGGAGAAAGCCCAGCTGGTCCCTCCCCCACTGTAAGAAAGAACAGCAGAGACACACGGAGAGCTCCCTAAATAGGCTTCTGGGTGGTTTTTATTCGAACAACATTGGAGGTGACTGCCACGCGGCTCTCTATGCTGGGGCCGTCTGGGCCAGCAGGTGCCAGCGCCATCGGCAACGGGGGGCGGGGGAGGGGGGCGGGGGGAGGGGTGTTCATTCACATGTAGAAACTATGCAGCAACTGGGAAGTCTAGTCACAGCGGCCGGGCAGGCGGGGGGCTCTCCTCGGGGAGGTGGCCCTGCGTGGCCCCGGCTCTGCCAGGAACACCGATTATTGCACAAAAACAAAGAGGACTATGAGTATCTGGGCTAAACGGTGACTTCTAACGACCCAAGCCCTTACATCACGCAGCGAAGGGGGCTGGAGCAGGCCCTGATGAACAAAGACTCGTGGGGAGAAAGGCAGGAAGGACATTGCACGGCAGCTCCTGCGCACACCTCCTCCAGAGAGCGGCCTGGTGCGGAATTTGGGCAGGAGAGCAAGGGACTGCCCAGGGGAGACCATACCCGGCTTGGTCGTGGGTCCCTCTCTGCAAGCACTAAGGTATCCGTGGACCTCCAGCCCCCACCCTCCACCCAAGGCTCAGTGCACAGGCTGGCCGGGGCCATCCGTACTGTGTCCCACTCTCCTGCTCTCCATGCCAGGCTCCTGTGGGTTTGGGAAGTTTGTGCTTTTGTAGTGGACAGGCACAGTCCCAAGGCCACCAGTTTGGGGATGGAGGAGGAGGGCACACCTGCCAGGTCTTACCCAGTCCCACTTGCCCTGGCTAGCCAGTCTCAGCTTCACTGGCCTCCCAAAGCAAGTGGCACCTCACTTCACCCTGCTTTGCCTCCTTGTACCTGTCTGCCTGGGACACCTTCCTGCCAGACCTACTTCCGGGTCACCTGGGCCAGGGTCCAGGCATGGCCTCCTGCCGGACACACCTGGGATGGGAGACAGGACATGTCAGGGGCACCATCAGCTGGGGCAAAGCGTGGACAGTCTTAATCCCTTGTGGGCTCAGGGATCGATCTAGGCCGGCACCGGCTCTCTGGCCAAGCGCCTACCGACTCAATCATCCACCCCTACCCTGGGTTCCTGATGCAAGATGGGCTCATGTCTCGGGTCTGCCTCACTTGGCAGCTGCCCCAGGAGTCCCTAAGCCAGCCTGGCAGACACTGGCCACCCAAGCAGCCCTCCTGCCATCCTGCTGCAAGCCACCTCTCTGTGAAGCCAGGGCTTGAGAATAGCAACAAGACTCCCCAGCGCGAGAGGGGCTGGAGACCCCTCCAAGGACACGGGCTGCAGTGAAGGCAGAGGCCTCAGGGACGGCCTCTGTCCACGCATCTCCAGGCTGCAGCTTCCCACCTACAAGCTTGTGGCCCTGCTCAGCCTCCTCCTGCACAACAGGCCTGGGAGAGGACAGGTCAGAGCTGTTTCTCATGAATTCTGAAATGAGCATGTAGCCACACAGATGCGGACCCCATGGGTGAACCCACGCAGGGGGGGCTACTGCCAGGAGTCCTGGCCTTTGGCTGCACTGGGCCCAGGACAGCTGGGCACAGGTGAGGGGGAGGGCACGGGTGAAGGAGCCCAGGGCGGCTCAGCCCTGCTAGGGGATAGTCACTGGGCTGGGGATAAACGGCAGGAGAGTCCTCAAGCCGCCAAGCATGAGCGACCCTGCAGGCCTGTCACACCGCTCCTCCTGCCCCCTGTCCTGCTGCCAGCCTTCCTCCCCAAGGGCCCAGGGGGCAGGACTGTTTCACCTGGCACCAGAGCCCCTCGCAGGGTTTTGAGGTCATGCCCTCCCCAGCAGCCTTGCCATAATTGATTCCCAGCTGCTCCCCACTGGACACCTAGCCAGGGGACTATGGGAGATGGGAGACGGGCCTCTGGGTGCTACCCCACACTTCACAGGAATGAACGGGCAGGGGGCCGGGCACCCCACAGGGCCAGGTGGGATGTTAATAGCCTTTCTTCCTTCAGGGGAAGACCCAGCGGCGCCCGCACCAGGGGGCTCCTGGCCCCAACCAGTTCTCCCCACAAGAGCCCTGCACCTCGGGCCTCACACCAAACTCCGGTCAGCTCCCCAGCTGCAGCACTTTCTGAAAGTCATAATCTCTCAGTAGAAAAAATAAATAAATATATGTGTCTGTCTCTATCTGCATATATGTACTTATGTGTGTGTGTGCGCGCGCGCGCGTACTGGAAGGGCGGCCGGCCCCGCGGGGCCTGGGCCAGGCCTGGGCCGCTACGCCATCCCGCGGCCGCGGACAAAGTATTGCTGTCTGAGGTAAACGAAGGTGAGACGGGGCAGCCGGCGGCCCCGCGGGCCCTCATCTCTTCCTCGTGCTGGCGGCGTCGCCGGGATCCAGCTCGCCGGGGGGCGGCCGCGGCTGGGGCGCCGAGGGGCGCAGGCCCGCGGGCGGCGGGGCCGGGCGCGCCGGGTCCTTGCTGCGGTCCGCCGCCCACGAGGGGCTCCGGGCCAGGCCGCGGGCGGCGCTGGGCGGACGGGGCCCGGGGCCGGCGGCCAGGCTGCTGGTGCTGCCGAACCTGCGGGCGGGCGGCAGGCCGGGAGGCTGCTGCGGCGGGGGCGGCAGGGGCGCGCAGAAGAGCGAGGTGAGCGAGAGGCTGCTGAGCGTCTCCCAGGGCTCGCCGCCCGGGCCGCCGCGGCCCTCCTCGTCCGACGGGTCCATGGAGTCGTGGTGCGTGCAGCCCGGGCTGGTGGAGCCGCCGCTGCTGTGGCTGCGCTGGTGCGCCCGCAGCCCCCGCAGGCTGAAGAGGCCGCGGCCGCGCAGGCTGAGGCGGCGACGGGCGCTGGGCGAGAGGCCCGCGCGGGGTCCTGGCACGGTGGCCGGCGGCCCCAGGACGCGGCGCGGGCTGTCGCTCAGGGTCAGGCTGTCCTCTAGTGTGGTCTGCAGGCTACCCACTGAACTGCTGGGACTGACATCCAGCGACGTGTCGCTGCGGGTGGCCTGCGGGGACAACAGAGGATGGGGCCCAGGCTCCTCAGGATGGGCACCTGAGCTTTCCGGGGCTCTGGGGTGGCGCCACGGCCAGCCTCCAGAGTGCCTCCAAGCCCCAGGACCAGATCCTCTGCCACCTTCTCCCTAGCAAGTGTCACTATGAACAGCCTGGCCATTCTAAGCAGTCACGCTGTTTTAGGCTTGCTCTGGGCACACTCTAGCCCCTAACTCCATGTCCACTGCCTGCTGTGGCGACACTGGGACTGTGGCCAGGCCAGCCCTGCCTACAGCAGAACGTGGAGAGACCTACCTGCTTTGCCCAGGGTGGGGAGGGGCTGTGGCCCAGCCCTCCCACCCCCAGACCACCCCTCCGCCTCAGGCCTAGTACTCAAGCCCTGCCCACGAGGATCCCCAGGTGTCTGTCACCCCAGTACCGACCCTCCCCAACCCTCCAGCTGGTGCCCACCTGCTCTCTCAGCCCCTAGCAACCCCTGCCCCACACGACCCAGTGGTCCAGCTGCACCTGCAGCCTAGGGCCCCACCTGCCGGAGGAGGGTACAGTTGACACTCGGTGAGCGCAGGGATGCCCAGGAGCCCTGCAGCGCGATTTTGGGCAGGGGCCCAGCGCTGGCACCCTTCTCCGGCCCCTTCTGGCCTGCGGACACTGCAGGATGGAAGAACTCGGCAGGCATGGGCAGCAGCGGGCTGGAGGCGTCAGGGGAGAAAGGGCTCGGGGGCACAGCTGGAGGGCAGGAGACACAACAGGTATGAACTAGCCTCTTGCCCACCTTGGAGGGAACCCACAGGAACAAGGGACCCCCCCCCCCAAAAGGCCAGCTCAGTCCCCAGCCCCAGGCCCAAAAATCAAACAGGAGCAGGCACCCACACAATGTACAAGGGGTGCCGGGAGGATGTAGACTCTGCCATCTGACCCACCTTCACCACCTGGCAGCTGGCCTCTGCCCAAGAGGTCAGCCTGTTCCCCTCTTCACCCGGGCTCCTGGGGAGCTCAGCTCAGAGTTAATGGAATTGTTATCTAAGCTCTTGGCTCTTGAGCCCATGTCTTTGCTCCCTGAAGCATCCACCTCCTATAGTGAGCGAACCATCTCATTCTTTCCAGAGGACATGGAGGACAAAACCCAGCCGGTCACCTGCCTCGGGACCAGGGTGTGGCCCTTACCTGGGCTGCTCTCGTGTTTCAGCCAGGACTGCACAGGGTTGAAGGGAACGGCCTCCATCTCACACAAGAAGCTCTCGGGGCCCACGGAGGCGGCCGTGGTGGGCACAGGGTAGAAGCATTCGCCCAGGTCCCCGACGTGAATCGGCTCAGGAGGCTCCAGCTCTCCCTGCAAGAAACAGCCAGGTGGGGGGAGGGGCTGAGCCCACCACACAGCCTCCCGATCCCTGCCGCCCTTCCCACCTCGGGGCCCTTGCCCTGGCCCCACCTCCAGGAAGGCCTCCTGGATGTCCCAGCCATCTTCGGTTCCCCCTTCCCTCCCCTCTTGACTGACAAACCCAGGACAGTGCAAGGACTCTTCCCCATCCCTAGATTTGGCACAGCCACTGGCTTGGGGCAGCAGCCTGGTCAAGGCTGGGAAGGCACCAAGAGAGGCTGAGTGACCACGGGAGCCGCGTGGGAGCATGACCTTGGGCGGGGCTCCCCTCCCCACTGCCAAACTCTAGTTCCCACATCCAGGTGGGGATAGGGTCGCTTCCTTCCTCCTTCCAGAACATTTTTGAGTTCCCACAAGCTCCCCAAGAGCCACTCAATGCACCCCAAAGCAGAGGACTTGCACCCTTCTGCTGACCCCAGGCACCCCTGTTGAGTCTACAGCAAAATGGCCAGGCCCCAGGACGTGTGGGGAGGGAACAGGGAAGCTTCCCCGAGCCGTCCCCACCATAGGCCAGGGGTAGCGAGCCCAGCTGCCTGGGGGGGCAAAGGCCGTCTGAGCAGGGCGAGACAAGCTTCCCCACCCTGCCAACCATGGCTGCCCCTCAGACCACCCGTTCCCTTGGAACAGGGACACCTGAACCCTGAGGCCACAGCCCAGGGGTGGCCCTGCCCACCCTCCAGGCCTCCTCAGATGTAGAAGAGGTTAGGGACTAGCCCCACGGCTGGCTTTCCTGCTCATCAGTCCCACCCCAGGTTGTGGACCAGGCAGAACCCCCATGTCCATGCACAGGAAGTGGGCAAGTCACCTGACACCCAGAGCTGGTGCAGGGGGTGGTGCCAGCTTTGGAACATGGCAGGAACATATGCCTTTTCTAGCTTGCTTGCTCTGCCTCAGCCCACAGCCCCTGTAAGCTGGCTGCCAGGGTCACCTTCCAGTAACAGGATGAGAAGTGCCCAAAGCCACCAGAAGCAGTCAGAGACACCAGATGCCATGTTGAAGCCTCGAGGAGACTCACGGCTGTACGGCCACAGGTGTCTCCCCACCTCTGCCCGACAGAGAGAGCCCAGCACGCAGCAGGTGCGGCTGTAACGGCAGGACCCAACAATAGGCTCATAGGTCCAGGAGTCACCCAGGCTGCTAACCTTGCTGTCCTTGGGGCCAGGTGGGCCAGCAGTGGGGTCCTCTAGACTCAGGTCATCACCCAGCAGGATGGACGAGGACCTGTCCGAGTTCATGGAGAAAGCCTCTGTCTCAGCCAGCTGCACCTGCAAGGAGGGGCGGCGACCTGGGGTCACCCTGAGCAGGCCTTGGCTGCAGGTGGCTCAGTCACATGCCATGGCAGAAACACAGGACAGTGCTAAGACAGTCCCAAGACCTGCTGGGCACGGATGGATGCCCATCCTGCAAAGGGGCTTGGACTGGGTGCCATACAACTGTGACATGGTGGTTCTCTCGGTGAGTCCCGCCCTTCAGGCTAGAGGCTGTCTGCCTGCCCCTGTCCAAGTGACCCCTTTGGGCCCCCCAAGCCCACAATGGAGACCCAGGAGCACAGACCAGGAAACCCAGAGTGGGCAGGAGTGGGCACTGAGCCAGGGCAGGGTACAGCAGCTATGGGAGCAGAGCCGGCAGGTGCCTCTCAAGGCACAGGCAGGCCAGCAGCCTTTCCTCAGTCCAGGGCCCCGCTCACAGCACTCAGTGGCCACCACACAGGCCTGCCCCTGTCCTGGCCAGGGGGCCAGAACAGCCAGGGCCACCGCAGCCTCTGCCCTCAGGCCAGCCAGGGGTTGCCCTCACCTCCTGCTTGTCGTGGTGACATCTCTCACAGCTGGTGGACGAGGAGTAGTGGTGGAAGACAGAGCCAGACAGGTTGTCGATGATGGTCAGCTCCCCCTCCAAGGAGTCCTTGATGATTAAAGAGACGCTGTCCAGCCACAGGTTCTCCTAGGCGGACGGGGACGGGGCGGGGACAGGCGGGGTTATCCGCCGGGGCCCAGGACAGCGGGGCGGGCCCGACCCCCTTGTCACAGGGTCACCCAGTTCATGGAGCTGAGCAGGGCGGGGCCCAGACAGGCGGGGGCCCTCGGTCAGGGCCATGGGCCTGGCTGTGCCCTCAGCCTGGGGGCCCCCTCCCCCATGGCCCCCACACGCCTGCCCACCTGGGCCGGGGAGTAGCAGCGGCGGCACACGCGGCCCTCGGCCTCGGCCCCGCCGCCGGCACCCCCGGCCCCTCGGCTCTGCGGGCCCGGGGAGCTGGTGGGCGGCCGCGGGCTGGGGCCCAGGCTGTGGGCCATCTCCAGCTCGATCTCAGCGTCCATCTCGGCGTCCTCCTGCGCCTCCTTGTTGCTGTCGTCCAGGTGCTTCATGAGCACGGCCACCACCACGTTGATGAGCACGAACTGGGCCGTGAGCACAAAGCTGACGAAGTAGAGCGGCGACACGAACTGCAGGCTGCTCAGGCAGCTGCGCTCATCGTGCGTGCAGTCCCGCAGCGTATCCTGCGCCAACAGGGCTGTGAGCGCCCAGCCCGCCCGCCACCACTGGACACCCAGCTGCCTGGGCATCACAGCAGGAAGGACAGCGCAGGGCCACCCCAAGGCCTCACCTCTGCCCCGCTGAGCCCATCCTGCCAGCCCAGGGCACGGCTAGGGAGCCTCAGCCACACCTTGCACATTCACAATCCTGAAGCAGTGGGGTGGGAGAACCTGCCCTGGGCTGGATGGAGGCGGCTCCCCTGGGTGACCCAGAACAGCCCTGGGCAGGGTGTCAAGCGCCCATTCTTGCCCCTGTTCTGCCATGGGGTCCCCTCCCGAGGCAGGCCTTGTGCTGGGACCCTGCGGCCTACCCCCTGAGTACCTTCATGATCCCGTTCCAGTTGTCACCCGTGGAGACCTGGAAGAGTGTAAGGAACGCCATGCCAAAGTTCTCGAAGGTGGCGTGCCGGCTCATGCCCTCGCACGGGTTCTCATCGTTGCAGACTGAGGAGGGAGCGGGGCTCAGCCTGCCCGGCCTGCCCTCACAGTCCCCACCAACTCCCCCACAACAGCTGCCTGGGGATCCCCGAGGCACTGGCACCCAGCCAGGGCTCGGCCTCAGAGGGCCTGGCCCTTCCTCCCACCCACAGATCTGCTCCTGGGGGAGAACCAGACAGAACTGACCCTGTAGGCATCACCCTCTGCCTGCCCCTCCCCGATCCTGCCTGCTGGGGCAGTGCCAGCTCAGGACAGGCACTAGTATAGGGAGGAGGGCAGCTCCCCTGGGACACCAGGCAGCCAGGAGCACTGCAGGGCGCCACCCATTCCATGCAGGGGTGAGGACGGCTGTCAGGCACCCCACTCCCATCAATGGCATTGACACCATAGGTCTGGCGGGGTTGGCCCAGCCTGCACATGCGGCCAGGGCCTCCTGCAGCCCCATCCCCACACCCTACACCCCACTGCCAGGACAGGCCTGCATCAGGAGTTGCTCACCCAGCTTGCCAAAGAGCTCCACACCCAGCGCGGCGTAGATGAAAAAGAGCAGCATGAAGAGCAGGCCCAGGTTGCCCACCTGTGGGGAAAGATGGGGCTGGAGAGGACACCGGGCCCTGTGCAGCCCGGGGCAGGCCGGGCCCAAGCGGCACATGGCACAGCAGCACAGCATGTGTGAGCCTGCACCCTGCACCATCCTGGTTCAAGCTGGTCACGCTCACTCACCCCAGGGACTCTAACCCTACTGCACACCAAGCACAGACGTCACCTAGCTCACCTGACGGGTTAGGGGAACCCAAAGCTGGGCATGCACACACTTTGCCTGCTCAGCCTGTATGGTTGAGGTTACCCTGGGTCACTGGAGGGAAGGTAGGCAGGCTCAGCACCAATGCCACCTCCTCTTGGAAGCCTACCTGGATTCTCCCAGAGGCACCTACTGCAAGTGTGACTGGCAAATCCCTGCATCAGTACTCTACTAGTCTGGGAGGTCCTTATGAGCAGGCACCCAGCCTCCGCAGATGGACCTGCCATGCTGGGCCTGCAGGGTGGTGGCTGGCAGGGAGAACCCACTTGCCAACCTACCCAACCCACCCTACGCTTCAGCACCCCACAGACCCCAAACCTGGTCCCAACCCGTCTGTCACCGGAAGACACCTCCGCTTTGAACAAAATGAGCCTGCAGTGTGCTCCTGCCCTCAGAATCAGACTCCCTCCCTGAAGCCTCAGGCAGACCACATACCCACAGTCCCAGTTTCCCAGCTGTCTGCTCCAGGGCCCGTGTGTGCCAAGTGTCCTGCTAAGTGAAGGCCTGTTTCCAGGGAGCCAGGCACCCCTGGAGCACCTGCAGGCCCAGGGAAGCCTGGCATTGGCTGAGGCCTGCGGAGCTGGCTCCTCACCCTGGGCATGCCATCCTCTCCCTACTATCCTCTCAGCGCCGGAGGGCTGCAGCTGCCTCCACACTACATCCCTGCCTCCAGCTCAGGCAGCACAGCAGCTCTGCTCACTGCCTCACCCTGGATCCTCCCATGGCCCCCAGGCCTGGGGCAGCCACCCTGGCAAGGGACCCACGGCCCCTGGCATCTCCTCCCAGCCCAGGCTGGGAAGCAGGACAGTGTCTCTGCCCCACTGAGTTTGTGGGTCACCTCTTCTGGCAGCCCTCCATCATGTCACTGCCCTCCCTGGGGGGCACAGTCTCAGTGGGAGGGGACTGTGGTTTCACTTCACTGCACTTGAAGCGGAACTGAGGTCACACCCCTTGTCCGCATATCAGCACGGGCATCAGCCACCTGATATGGAGGGGTGGTACCCCCATGACTACACGGAGACAGGGCAGAAGTGTCGGGAGCCGGGAAGCCCAGGCCCGTGGCCCCCACGGCCCAGCCTGATGCTGACACTGGAGAGACAGGGCTGCTGGACACAGCTCTTACCTGAGGCAGGGCTTGCACCACGGTGTCCAGCAGCGCCCGCATGCCTGTGGCCATCTTCAACAGCTTCAGGACTGTGGGCGACACCCGGCCTAGACCACTCAGCCCCATGTTGTAGACATGCCCATGTGTGTCTGTGTGTGTGTAGGCGTGCAAACTCCAGAGGACAATGGGAGTGGGACAAGGTGTGCATGAGTACAGAAACACCTGGAGACAGGTGTGGCCATCAGCGAGAACATGGCCAGGAGAGCAAGACAGGCAGGTAGGACCCTAACTCCCACAGCACCCTCCCGGTCACCTAGGCCAACGTGCAGTAAGTAAACAGGGTGGGTGCATAGGTGTGCTGGGCCAGGCCGTCTGCAAGTGGGGACAGGTGAGTGTGTTGGAGGAGGCCTGCATGGTGAGTCAAATGAGTGTGCCCCTCCTGGCTCTTCTCCTGCCCACTGTGCCCATGCCTCCCCTCCCCTGCCTCCCCACAGCCCAGCCCTGCCCTGCCCATCCCTCACCCCGGGCAATACGCAGAACTCGCATGATGCGGATGATGGTGGGGTTGATAGGCAGGGCTGCGTTGATCTCAATCTCCTCTAGTGTGATGCCCATGACCGACAGCAACACAATGGCCAGGTCCAGCTGGTTCCACCTGCTCGGCCACACAGCGGAGGACGGAAGAGATCAAGGGAGCAGCCCCCTGCTTGGATACACCTTAGCTGTGGGAAGCCTCCTGCCCTCCATCCTCCCTAAGGACCCCTTGGTGGGTCCAGATCCCCACACTCCTACTGCCCACTGGAGGGCCAACCTGGCTAAACAAGCACCTCTGGCATCCTGCTGGGGACTAGATGTGAGCTACAAACCCTGGGCTGTTTGTGGGACTTCGGGCTATGCCAGCATCCTCGCTTATTTTCTCTGCAAAGGAAGACCAGCACTCTGCCCTCAGGCCACAAAGGACCCAGCAGAGAAGAGCTGACAAGGGCCTGTAGGAGTGTCCTGTGTCTTTCTAATGAATGCCCACGGTCCTGGTTCATATAACTACTTCCTGTTCAGGGCTGCACACAGCATGGGGGGCCCTGGCCATGAGCACTCAAGTGCTCACTGGTCCCCTTCCTCTGGAGCCTCCAGGGCTCAGAACAGGTTCCCCACCCTGCAGCCCACCTTACACTGTCCCAGTCCCAGCCTGACTGAGCCCCTCACCTGTCCTTGAAGAAGCGCCTGAGACCAAAGGCCACCAGCTTCAGCACGGCCTCCAGCACAAAGACGGTGGTAAACATGTAGTTGCAGTACTTGAGGGCTGTCTCCAGGGACTGTGGGGGTCACAGAGAAGCATGGCCCAGGCCCCGTAGCCAGTCCCCCAATCTCCACCCCCACCACCACCAGAAAGTCTCTGCCTTTTAGGAGAATTTAGTTCATTTACACTTAGTGTCAACTTTTATTCATTCTATCTTCTTTTATATTCTCGTTACTCAGTATATTCTTGTCTCTCGCTCCTTATTTCTACTGCTTCAGTCTAGCTGCTGCCTTTGGAAGCAGTGTGGGGTGGTGTTTGAGGACCGCTGACTTAGAGCTACTCCCTGTTCACTCTGTGACCCTGGCCACGTATCTGCCATCCCTGGGACTTCAGAATCTGTAAACTGAGGCAGTAGCAGTAGCACCCACCTCAGAAAGCCACTTCGGGAATTAGCTGAGCGGACATGTCAGTGCTGTGTACAGAATAAACCCTTGTTCCATGTGGGCGAGCATGTTGCCTAGTGGCAGGTCCTGTGATAAGCGTTCCATTCTGCCAATGCCCGCCTTCCTCTTCCCTTTCACCTTACTGCGGAAAGACACTCGCCGCCACCTCAAAAGGGTCCCCACCCCTTCGTTCCAGGCTCCACTAGACTGAAGCTCTCACTACTAAGCTTGCCTCACACATGCACCCTGTCTGTCCAGGGACTGCTCGCAAAGGTCCTTCGACCTTGAATGCTCCTTTCCACTCTCCACGGGGTCGCCTAGATGTACAGGCAACTAGGTAGTCTTGAACATAAACCCAAGCGCCACTGGCTGGCTCTCCAGTCTGGAGCCGGGCAGTAGTGGGGTGGCTCTCCGAGTCTCTGTGTGATCATCTGAAGTGCCCACTCAGCGTCCGTGTCTGAGAACCTGCCTCGCCCAGAGTCAGGTTTCACACCATGACATCTGCTGCTTGTGTTCAAGCCTGGCTCACCACAACAAGCCATACTTCTCTTCCCTGCACTGCCCTCCCAGGCCCAGAAACAGCAAGGTCTTCCTGCGTCCCCCTCCCCTGCAGACCAGGCCGTCAGCACCCACCCCTGGAGAGACGCCCCCCTCACCGCGTGACCCTGCGTCTCGTGCTCACCGTCGGCTGGTTGTAGTGCTCCAGGGACATGGTGACGACGTTGAGGCAGATGATGAAGGTGATGAAGATATCCAGGTAGTGGCTGGTGCACATGGAGTGGATGAGCAGCCGGGTGGGACAGTAGGTTGCATAGTAGGGCAGTCGCTGGGCCTCTACGGTGAGGGGTAGGGGAGGGGTGGTTGTGGAGGCGCAGTGAGGGAAGGGGGCAGGGAGCAAAGAGGCCAGACACTGGACCGCCCCAGGCCCTGGAATCAGGCTCCGGTCTCCCCAGCTCAGCCAGTGACCATCAGATATTGGGGAAGAAGCTAATGAGGCCAGGCCACTGATCTCCCCACAGGTCTACTGGGGCAAGGGCAGGGCCTCACAGCCCAAGGCCAGGCTCTGCGTTGCCCGCTGTCTGGCCTGGGCCGTCCCCCATTGGGCCCTGGATGGACACAGTCAGCGCTGAGGTCACTTGGACAGGCAGGCTTGGGGTACAGGGCTAGGCTCAGGGGCACAAGGGCAGACTCAGGGAGCAGAGGCTGGCTCAGAGGCGCAAGGGCTGGGTCTTCAAAGGCCCAGCCGGCAGGGCATGCCCAGGCCCATGGGCACAGGGGGTCTAGACCCCACCCCACCCCTGCAGCCGCCCGCTCACTTCGCCTCTTCTTCTCCAGGCGTCGCAGCCGCTTCTCCTCTCGCCGGCGTGCCTCCTCGGCCTCCTGGTGCTGCCGGCACTTGTGGAAGTTCTCCACCACCACGCCCACGAACATGTTGAGCACAAAGAAGCTGACGATGAGCAGGAAGGAGATGAAGTACAGCAGCATCCAGGGGTTGTGGTTGGTCACGGGCTGCAGGGGGAGACAGGGCTGAGGGGCCACAGGCGGGCACCTGACGTCCTGAGCCTGCCTCCGAGGGGACTGTGAGGCCTTCATCCCCCATCGCTCCAGCTGCTGCCTCCTGGACACACAACTCTCTCCCTTCCCTCATTCTCCTCTCCACGCACTCGCTCCTGCGGCCATCCGAGAACTCAGCCAGGCAGCCACTCACCGTTACATCCATCCAGGACCATCCATGCACCCACCCACTTGCCTATCTGTCCAGCCAGCCATCCACCCACCAATCATCCACGTATCCATCCTCCCTTCCATCCGCCTGTCTGTCCATTCACTTATGCATCTGTCCATCCATCCATCCATCCGTCCATCTGTCCATCCATCCATCCATCCATCCATCCGTCCATCTGTCCATCCATCCATCCGTCCATCTGTCCATCCATCCATCCGTCCATCTGTCCATCCATCCATCCGTCCATCTGTCCATCCATCCATCCATCCGTCCATCTGTCCATCCATCCATCCGTCCATCTGTCCATCCATCCATCCGTCCATCCGTCCATCCATCCATCCATCCATCCGTCCATCCGTCCATCCATCCATCCATCCATCCATCCAGAATCAAGGCAGGCAATGAGGCAGACAGCAGAGGGGAGCCCCTGGCCTGGGAGGAATGTGTGGGCATTAGTAGGAGTGAGAGGACAGAGTAGATGAGGAGGTGGAGATGCTGGAGAGGCACTCTCCACTCCCACGCCCTGCAGCAGGGTCCCACTGGGAGGATCCAAAAGTCAGAGGTCACCCAGGGGTCACCCACAGCCCTGCCTCCTTCCTCAGTGGGCCCAGTCCTTCCATTCCTCCCACAACCCCACCTTGGTGTGAAGTGGTCGGCCCTGTGTCCCTGAGGGGATCCTGCCCTTAGAGGTCTGGCTCTGGCTTCCTGTCTGAGCCCTCCCTCCAGGCCCCCGTCCAAAAGCCCCTAGGGGTCTATCTAGAGCACCCCGTTAGAGACCCTGCGCCCACACCCCTGCCCAGCTCTGCGTGGCCACACGCACCTGCTGGTCCACAGCGACAGCATCCAGGCCATTGTACATGATGTTCACCCAGCCATCCTTGGAGGCCAGGACGAAGAGAGACATCAGAGCCTGGAACACAGCAAGGGAGAGGAGGGCGCAAGTTAGGGCGCGGAGGCTCAGGCAGCCCGGCCCCTTCTCCACTCTCTGTGTTCCTCCTGGGTGGGGGTGTGTGCAGAGAGGAAGGCACCTTGCACGTGGGGGGCGGGGGGCCTTGCACGTGGCAGGGCAGCACCATCTGCTCTCAAAGCTCTTCTGCTGCAGGAAGAGCACTGCCCCTGTGTCCTGGGCGCCCGTCTCAGCTCCAAATCGAACTGGCTGTGCAACCAGGCACAGGGGAGTATGCCCCCCTGCCTCCATGGATCTGCAACCAGAGGCTCCTGCCTGTCAGGTATACCAACTGGTATCCGAGACTCAACCCCTGGGAGAATCCTGGCCTGTGTGGGGCACCTGGAGTCACCACACCCAGTACTTGCCAGCTTGCCCCAGCACCTAGGAGAGAGGCAATTTGAGGGGAGTGGCAGGAGGAGTTATGCCACAGCTGGGCCTCTGCCCCTCCTGGGCTGTATGACCAGGACCATCTTATCAGTGAGCAGCACTGCCTGTTCTCAGAGATCCTGACCAGAAGGCTGGACCCGGGAGGCAGCCGGCCTGAAGCACGCGGTGCAGGACCTTGCCCGCAGCAGGGCCTCATTAGCGGAGTCCTAAGCTGACCTCCAGTGCAACCGTCCCAGTCGTTCATCTCATGAGGGGGCTGCCTGGAGTCCCGTGCCCATCTCGGGGAGCCCCTCCCCGGGTGGAGGTGACCACCTGCCTGCCTCTGTGCACCTGCTGTTGGGCCCAGGACGAGGGGCCCTGCTCCGACCCCTCCTGCCCCTCCTGCCCCACAATGGGGCAGGGGAGGGGAGCAGCACTAGGGTCACTCAGGAGGGGGCCAGACGCAGGCCAGGGCAGGTGGGGGGCGGGGACACAGGCTCCTCCATCTCTGGCACCTGCCTTCACCATCCCCACAGGCAGGTGAGGGCACTGACACCCACGGGGCGTCAGCCTGTCTGAGGTGGCTGGGAGGACAACCCCTGCAGGTCAGGCTGTACCCTGCTCACAGCTCTGGGTGCTCTCACATGATGCTAGGTGCACCAGCTTCAAGGGCACCTTGTCCCATCTGAACAAGAGAGGGTCAGGGGCTGGCACAGGGAGGGACCCAGGGGTGAGCTAATACAGGAACAAACTCACCAAAGGGGTGCCCCCATTTCCAGCAGCAGCTTCCCCCATCCCTCCCCTCTCCCCACCTCACCGCAGTTTTCTCCAGCATGAGCAGAGGGGCGGTGGGGGGGGGATCTGTACACGCATGGTGCCCAGAGAACAGGGTCAAGGGGAGCCACTACATCCAGCCTCCAGCCACCTCCTCCCGGCCAGGCACTGCCCACAGCTTTGTTCCAGGGGAGATACGGAGGCCACAGGCCCAGAGCCCCCCAGCCCTGCCGGCTGCTGGAACAAACTCTCAGGGGTCCCCGGGGTCTGTTTTGGAGGCAGCAGCCACAGGCTCTGGCCCAGAACAGTCAGATGGGGCAAGCCTGGCAGATGACAACATAGGGTAAGTGTGCTGCGTATCCTGCAGGCTCCCCTGGCATCCCCACTGCCACTACTGCTTGCCACTCCCAGTTCCTGGAGGCCACACTCATGGGAGTAGGAGAACTCATATACAAACTCCTGTCAAAGCCATGGGACCAACGCTCAGGGGGTACCCCTGCCCAGTGTCAGCTCCCATCCCCAGGCCCTGCCTCTGCCCCTGCCCCTGCCCCTACCCACTGCTCATGACAGAGCAGCAAGGCTTGGTGAGGAGAACTCCTGCCTGGGGCCAGCTCCCCCAACGGGGGTGGTTCACACACCTGCCCCAGGTTGTCGAAGTTGTATTTGTGGTGGACCCAGCGGTAGTTGGCAGCCACACAGTCGGAGCGATTGGTGATGTTGCGTGTGTCCACACCCAGACAGTGGTAGAACTTGCCTTTGAAGAGCTGGGGAGAAGGGTGCAGGCAGGTGCTCTGGGGGGCGGGGAGCCTCACGCCTGAGTCCATCGCCCCCAGCCAGGGCCAGCAGGGGGTGAGGTGAGGCAAGCAGTCCCCAGGCACCCCTCACCTGCACCCCCAGGATGCCGAAGATGATGAAGAAGGCGCAGCAGATAAGCACAATGTTGCCAATGGGCTTAAGCGACGAGATGAGTGTCTCCACCACCAGCTTTAGGCCCGGAGCCCGGCTGATGACGCTGCAGACAGGTGGGACCCGGGTACCCTGAGCCCCTGGCCGGGCTGCAGGGCATCCCTTGCCACTTGGCCAGAGCCACCCAGGGCCACATGCACAGATGGATGCCTGCCTGGGGTCAACACTGCTTGGTGGTCTGCAGACTCCCAGACACACAGAGTGGGTGGCGATACCAGGGCACACAGGACTTCCACGCTGCCCATGCCCATCCATACATCCTCTCTTTCCAGGAACCCCTGTACCTTGGGGCCCTCCCTGCACCCCAGGGGCCTCACCGCAGGGGGCGGAGGGTGCGCAGCAGCCGCAAGACGCGCAGAACCCCAAGGATCTTGGCTCCGCCTGCTGAGGCCACGGATACCACAATGTCGATGATGGACACAAAGACCAGGAAGCCGTCTAGCACATTCCAGCTGCTGCGCAGGTACGCCTGCTCACCAAAGTACAGGCCCAGGGAGACCACCTAGGGGTGGGCAGGCCGTGGTCACGGGAGGAGCGAGGCCTCAGGGCTGGCCGCGGGGGCACACCCCCCGTCTCTGGTCCCCAAGCCTCATACAAGCCCCTCTACTACATCATTAGCTGGTGTTACGTTGGAGGGTGGATCAAGACGAGGCCATACCTTCAGCGTCATCTCGCCCACAAAGATAGCCGTAAAGATGTAGTTGGACACGGTGAGGAAGATGCGTTCCTGGAAGAGCCGGGAGGCACCGTGGGTCCCAGGGCCCCTCCCCACAACTGCCCAGCCACCTGCTCAGCTGATCCTGTGTACCCCCTCCAGAGCAAGCTCCCTGGGGCGCACGCCCTGCCCCTGGGCCTCGCCCTTCACCCTGCAGCCACTCACGGTGCTGCCAGCCTCAATCTGCGGCCGCTCCAAGGCGATGGTGATGCAGTTGAGGAAGATGAAGGCCAGGACGACGTAGTCAAAGAGCTTGTGGGCGATGACAGTCTGACACAGGACCCGGAACCTAGGCAGGGCCAGGCAGGGGCCACTGAACGTGGGTCTGCCTCCTGTCCAGGCTCAGGACCATGAGCCCAGGAGGACCTAGCAAAAGTGCTCCTCCATTTTCTGCCCACATGACAGGTGCCAACCTCAATCCACTCAGAGGGAGCTGCCCCCATCACCATGTTCTGAGAAGGAAGGGCTTGCACCTGCCCTGGCTCTGTAAGCTTCCCAGACAATGGCCCCAAACCTGACCCCACCTCCCAGCATTGGGGCCAAAGCACTGCCCGGCCCCCTCTGGACTAACTTCCTGACCCCCTACCCACGCTGCACCTGTTGGGATGCTCTCTGCATCCAAACCCAGCACACAGTCCTCCTCCCCCAGGAAGCCTTCCGTTGCCCCTTCTAGGTGTAAGCGCCTGGGTCCCTGTCTAATGCTGGGGGAAGCCACACCCCACATCTCTTCCCCTCTGGGGAGGACAGCTCCCTCCTCCCACCCTGCCCCACCCACCTGTTTTTGGGGGAGAAGAGGTAGACGGACCAGTCCTCGCGGACCTCACACCAGCCGGGTTTGTACACGTCCATCATCTTGCGCACACGGAAGCACAGGGTCTGGCCAGGGCACACGAGGCTTGGAGGGTCAGCACCACCCAGGGCTGCCTGGCTGCCCACTCTGGCTGCCCAGCAAACCAGGTGCTCCCAAGGACCTCCCAGCTCTCACCCCACCTAAACTACCTGTCCCAGGTGGGCCCAGCTCAGGTGTGGGCAGTGTTGACCACACCCCGCAGCCCAAGCCCTCCATTTGCAGCCCAGCCCCCTCCACTCACATAGTCCATCTCCTCCTCGTCACCACCACCGCTCCGGCCATCATCCATCTTGGTGAAGACGTCCTTGGCGAGGCTGGGCACCCGGCCATTGCAGTCCTCATGCCCAGGCACCGTGCCCACAGTCCTCCAGGCTGCACGTGGGTGGACACCCACAGGGGTGGGCACCAGCTCGGCCAGGTCCATCGAGTCCCGGGTGTCGAGGGACAGCGTCCGGCGGTGGTGGCGATGGCGGTGCGCCAGGTGGGGGCCGTGGTGCGCGGCATGCACGTGGGGGGCATGCGGAGGGATGGCGGCACGGGGCGGGGCCTCGTCCTGGGCACCCTCACAGGCCCGAGCACAGCCACGCTCGGCGGAGAGCAGAGACTCATGCTCGGCCGACGGTGGCCTGTGCTTGAGGCTGTTCCAGCTGGAGCGGCGGCTGGCCCAGGCCCCGCTGCGGCCCCACGGCCCGTAGTACGAGCTCCGTGAGCTGGACTGGGGGAGGCCGGCTTGGGTCAGCTTGGGACCACTCCTCCTGTACTCCCCACCCCAGTGTCCAGCCAGCTAGGGCCAGGATCCCATCTCCAGGGAAGCAGTCAGCCTCATAGGAAGACCGGGGACTAGAATTCATTCCCAAGTGGCACAAGCCACATTCTAGCTCACCTGCAAAGTCATGACCCTGCGCCTGAACCTGATGCCAGTGGAACCACTCACTCCTGACACTTCCTTGCTTTCCAGGTCCCACTCTAGCACGGGGTGTCCCAGGACATGGTTCCCAAGTTCCTGCCCAGAGTGCCACGCCGACCTGCAGGCTTCTCTCCACGCTTCCACTGCACGCAGCCCATGGGAGAGCACCCTTGCAGGACACCCCGTGTCCTTGCAAGACTCACCAGGGAACGCTGATCGTAGCTCAGTCTCCCCAAGGACATGACGCTGCTTTTGCGTGACTCCAAGGCCAGCAATACGGGGTCCGGCGGCAGCGAAAGGCGTGGGCCAGGGGCCGCAGCCCCGGAGGGGCCCAGATGCCCAGCCAGTGGGAGACTGGGGTCCAGGTGCCCATTGGGAGTCAGGGGAAGTGGGAAGAGCTTGGGATCTGGTCAGCAGGGGTGGAGTGGAGAAGACACACGGAGGAGCAGAGAGCAAACAGGACAGTGTGGGAGCAAGAAAAGGCATGGCTATGACAGTGGATTCCTCCCTGGCTCCCCGTCCCCGCCCCCACCCCTGCCTGGGCAGGTGAGCGGAGCCCCGCCCCTGTGGAATGTCACACAGCTCAGGCACAGGAAGTGGGCAGAGGGAGGGGGATCTTGGGGTTTGTCACCCAGACACCGGTAAGGACCCTGGGCTGGGCTAGAGGAGGCGTGTCCTGTGCTGGCCAGAGATGCCACTCCTGTGCCCCCCAGGCGTGTGTTGCTGCCCCCTGCCCTCACTCGGGCTCCCGGCTGATGGACGGGCTAGCTTTACCTCCACTACCATCCAGGCCCTCGGCAAGCTTCTCCAGCTCGTCCATGGTAGATGAGCTCTGGTCTTCGTCAGAGTAGGAGCGATTGGCGTCGCCCTAGAGGCCAGCCCCATGTGGGTGACACGTCAGCTCAGCTCCTCCCTCCTCGTTCCCCCTCAGTGCAGGGTGGGGTGGGGTGCAGGTTTTCATTGGGTGTGCCCATGCCCATTTTACAGATGGAGAAACTGAGGCCCAGAAAAGGAGAGTGAGAAGCCCCCAGGACCCAGACCCCAACCCCTGTCAGCCTGGCAGCAGTGTCCCCACGGTCTCCGAGGCCAGAGGCCACAGGACCTCAACTCCCAGGTCCCTGGGGTCTGTGGGAGCTCAGAGACGGTGAGAGAGGCAGGGATCCTGGTGCAGCCTGCATTTGCACACTTCCTGGGATGGGAAGCTCACCACCTCACCACCCACCCACAGACACACTCCTCCCCCCCACCAGCCACCACAAAGGGCTGCTCTGCCGGGGCCACAGTCACCTCTGCCTGGAAGCCCTCCACCAGGATGGCCACCAGCAGGTTGAAGAGCACATAGTTGCCGAAGGTCATGAGGGCAACGAAGTAGAGGGAGGCCCAAGGGGAGGTGGAGGCCATGCCGTTGTAGAGGACGACATTCCAGTCCTCCTGGGTGAGGATCTATTTCGGAGGTGGTATGCAAGTCAGCCCAGACCACCCCCACCCTCCAGCCCCCCTGCAACCCCGGGGTCTCCCCTACCACGGCTGCCACTCACCTGGAAGACGGTGACGATGGCCCACAGCAGGGAGTCAAAGTTCTTGCGGTCGGGCACCGTGTCTCCCGTGTCTGTGCGCAGGCTGAACTTGCAGCCGAAAATGTGCATGCCAAGGATGCTGGGGGAGGCATGAGGGGAGAGGGGGCTTGGCCTATTTTGCAGGGGTGTGGACCGGACACCTGCTCTCCCCCTTCCCCCCGCCAGGCTGGGGTGGGAGGGGCTCACCTGAAGATGAAGATGAAGAGCATGAGCAGCATGCAGAAGGTGGCCACGTTGTCCATGGTCTTCATGAGCACCACAAGCTGCCGTCGCAGCGCCGGCATGAAACGCACCAGCTTCAGCACCCGCAGCAGCCGGAAGGTCCGCAGCACCGACAGCCCGCCATCCGCCTGCCCCACGATCTCCCAGATGCTGCATGGTGGTGGCGGGGGGCACACAGAGGGACAGAGAGCTGCTGTGTACTGGCTCGCTCACTCACACACCCCACATGCTGCCCCTGACATCCAGTAACCAGGGGCTTCCCACCCAGAGCCCACAGACGTCTAAGGCACCAGTGCGAGCAGCCAGGGAGGCGGCCCTCCCCCTGCTCAGACGTAGCACTTGTTCTCATTACGTGTGTGGACAACAAACCACAGGGAACTAATTAGCAGCATGACTGATGAGCAGGCTGGGCAGGCGGGACTGGGAACTCCTACTCCTGCCTGTTCTTCTGGGCAGAGGCGGAGGGCAGCCCACACCTGCTGCTCGATGCCACCATTCCTGCTAAGTCCTGGTGTTCTGTGTCTCCCTGTAACTGGCTTGCCTTTGCATACTGCTTGCAGTCTTGGCTTTAAGTGCTCCCCCAAACCCTCAGCCCCTCAGCCCCTCAGCCCCTCAGCCCCTAGGCCCCTCAGCCCCTCAGCCCCTCAGCCCCTAGGCCCCAGGGCAGGCACGGGGCTACCTGATGATCACGATGATGCTGTCAAAGATGTTGTAAGGGTTGCGCAGGTAGTCGAAGAGCCCGAAGGCAGCCAGCTTCAGGATCATCTCCAGGGCAAACATGCTGGTGAACACCACGTTGCAGATCTCCAGGATGTCCGTCAGCTCCTCGGGCTGCGAGGGCAGGGCGACCCGGTCATGCCAGAGTGCGGCCATGCAGCCCCTCTGGATGCTCGCCCAGGCCCTCGCTGGGGCTCAGCTCCCTGCCTTGTGTGACGGCCTTGAAGGACGGCCCAACTGCCACCCAGGGGTCCTAGGACAGTGGGGGACAGGCCAGGACTCCAGGAACACCCTTCCAAGGAACTAGAAACAGCACCCACTCTGCAGATAACCCAGGCAGCACCCCAAGGCCAGGGGAGCCAGAGGCTGTGTGTGCTGGGCTGGGCCCCTGCACCTGCCACATGCAGAGTGTCCACTGTGGCTCTCGGAGGTCCAGGGAGGCTGAGGGACCTGCCCAAAGCCACCAGCCAGGGGAGACCAGCCCCACTGGCAGCCCCCGGGACCTGCTCTGTCCCTGGATATGTTCACCTCGTGGTGTTCAATGCAGGTGGCACTTTTCTGGAGAACGTGCCACATCATCAACCATGACCAGGGGCGTGAGAGGTGGGCAGGCCAAGCCTGGGCAAGCCACTCCCACCCATGGACCTGCCTTGCCTGATCCATGGAACCAGGGCCGGAGCAAATGGTCTCAGGCCATGCCCCTGCAGCCATCTGAATTGGGCTGCCACAGCCTTGCAAAGGAAAGGGCCCCTTGCTAAGCCCCGCACCATGCAGCCCCGGCCGGATGGACGCCCAGCACAGTGCTGACCACTCCTGCAGCCTGCCTTTCACAGGACACTCAGGCCATTCCATAGAGAGCCTTCCCTGAACTCAACTGCTCACTCATGAGTTCCTTCCCGCGCGTGCTTCCCTGGGTACTGTGTGCCTCTCTCAACATGCGGGCTGTGCTGCCTGGGTGGGCAGCAATGTATGAGTCAGCACACGGCCCCTGCCCCCAACAAGTCCATTCCAGTGGACAAGGCCTGTAGACACAATTACCAAACCACACCAGGGAACGCTAACAGCAGGAGAGCCTAGGCTGGCCTGGGGACTATGTGGCCAGAGCCAGGCGCCTCCTGGAGGAAGCGACGTTTCCAAAGAGACCCAGGGAGGAAAGAGGGGTGTCCAGGCAGAGGGGACAGCCAGCACAGGGTTCCAGCCCAGCTGGGACTCGTGAGCATTCAACAGAGGCAAGAAGAAAGCTACGTGGCGCCAGTCTCTTTCCTGCGCCCAGAAAATCTAATCCAAGTGCTGGTCCCGCAGCCCAGATGAAAGAAGGCGGCCCCACACCCACCCGTAATTACATTTCACTCCCCCCAGCAGTTCCAGATGACACAGACACCCCAGGGAGGCCCGGGGGAGACGGGCGGGGGTGGGGGGCAGCTGGGGCTGATCCGTAGCCCTGATGCCGCTCCCATCCACCGGCTTCCAGCCCACCCCGGCCACGTCTGCGGAGATGAAAAACCCCAATGGTGACAGCTCATCAGGACCGGTGCCCGCCACTGGGCCACACACACTGAACACAGACACTCGCACGCGGACAGCTCCAGCCACTGCGCTCGCGAAAGGTCACCCCCGCCTCCCTCCGCCCCCGCAGCAGCTGTGTCCCTGTCAGCGCACACCTGTTCATCTTTCCTAATGGGCCGTCCATCACTCAGGCATAGGTAGACAGAACAGTGTGAGAGACCAGGGAGGGAGGGTGCGTGGAGGAGATGGGCGGGGCGGGGCAGTGGACGGACACAAGGAGCTGGAAATCGAGGCAAATGTGGGGAGACAGAGACAGCAGAAAATGGTATGAGAATGCTGCAACACAGCCACACACTCACGTGCATGCCCACACATGCCCACACACTCCCGTGCACACCCGTGCATGCCCACACATGCACTCATAGGCACCATTCACACACTGTGTGTACATATGCACATGCTCACATACACCCACACATGTGCACACCCGCGCATGCACACAGCCACACATGTGCACACACATGCGGAAACAGCAGAGGCTGCAGGAGGTGATGCTGACCCACTCAGTGAAACAGCCCGCAGCAAAGGCAGGAAACCCCAGGAGAAACAGGAAGCAGGCAAGCAAAAGGGGCAGGGGCTGGCACATCCCTGCAGGATGCCCCTGGCTGCCCAGCCACTTGTGAGGGTTCAATATCAGGGTGGGTCGAGGGTGCCTGCCCCTTGAGGCCCCTCAGTGGGCCCAAGTGCCACTCCAGGGACCACACTGCAGCTGGCCTTGGAGAGGCCTCACAGCCTCCAACCACTTAAAATTACCAGGGGTTAAACACAGGGAGCCTGAGGCCCAGAGGGGAGGCTTCCTGGGGGCGCCCCCTCCCAGATCTCCTCGGGCTCCACCCGCGGTGCCTGGGCTGCCTTATCTGATGGGATGCCAGTGCAGCAGACACAGCTTCCCACTGCCAAAGACAAACCGCCTCAAAGCCTTGGTCAAAAGCAGGCCTGGTATCCTTCTAGCCAGCCTTCATCTACTTCCTCCTCCAGGGCTGCAGGTGTGTGTGTGAGGGGGCGAGGCACCTGGGCTCCTGGCCCTGCCCTGGTCCCTCTGACTCTCCTTCAGGACCTATTGTCAGTGTCACCACACCCAAGAAGGCGTCTCTGATTGCAGACCGTTTTCTGGGTACCCCCACAGAAATGAAAACGGCAGCCTCCAACACACCCTGCCTTCCTCCTTCCGGAGTTATCCTCAACCTGGGTGGGCAGTGACTTGGTGGGGGCTGCTGAAAGGACATGAAGCTGCTGGAAACCTCTGCCAACGTGACAGCCTTGAATGCAGCCAACAGGTGCTGCGGCCACACCTCAGTTTGGGGTCAGACCAACCCCAGGGAGCCAGCCTGCACCCTGCTCTGCTGCCACACAGCCTGTGCTCTCCCGCCGTGAGCACCCTCAACCCTGGAAGAGACAGGGCTGCGGGGCACCCTGGCCCAACTTGAGGGCTGTAAACTTGGATGGGTGTACACTGGGGAAGAGGGCTCAGATGGCAACGTCCTCGCACCCACACCCCACCCCTAATTCCAGCACCCTAGTGACCTCAGCCTTCAGAGCCAGCACTGCCCGCTGTCCACCATATCACTCCAGTAGCCATGTGACCTTGCTCACCCTCACTTTTCCCAGCTGCCCGGTGCAGGTGACACTGCTGCTGCCCAGCCACCTGACCCACCTGCTGATCACATGGTGTCTGCCCATCCTGCCCCTCTACCCAGGCCCACCCTCTGAGTCCCCTCAGGCCCCTGCCTAGCTGAACCCTCTTTGACCTCTTCTAAGCTAACCCCTGCAGAACAGGGGCTGCACCGCCCCCCGCCACCCGCTTCACCTCCTGCCCTCCCTCCCTGCACCCTCCAGCAGCCCTGGGATACTTCTCTACAGTGCCACCGCAGCCAGCAAGGGCTGCTCAGAATAAACATGGGGGCGGCTCCAGCTCTGTCTGGGAGCGGAGGGAACGTAGCAAAAATACCAGCGGGCCCCCAGGCAGGCCCCGTGTGCAGCTCACCAACGGTGGCTGCCACTCCAAGCTGCTTTAAAAAGCGCACTTTAAAAATGCTTCCGCCCCCTCACTCTTCCTTGAACTAATTAATTTTTCGAGGCTCCAGACAGCCGACGGTAAACTCCGCTGGTGGATGGTGGAGGGCGGCTCGAACAAAGCCTCGGAGTCACCACCACGGAGCCACCACCATGGACACGCACACCTGCTGGGCACCAGGCTCGCCAGCCCAGGCGCTCAGGACCAGGACCAGGAGTCTTCCTGCCCATTTGCGGGGGACACCTGCTGAGGCAGGACCAGCAGTAGCAGCAGGTGTGTAGGGGAGAACCCCAGGGAGGCTGGGGCTACCACGTCAACTTGGGGTCTGCTTAGCAGGTGCTCAGCCAGGGTCACCCAGCCTAGCGGGCAAAGGGGGAGCTCGAGAGCACCAGCTGGCTGGGCGAGAGCCTACCCCAACTAACATCACCGATGCCTGCTGTGCCATGGGGGAGGTTCCACCAAGCCTGGGGGTCAGAAGGGCTGCTGTGTAAGACATGGCAGGGTAGAGGAGTGGGTAGGGGATAGCGACCTGATCTAAGTCCCCCACGCACCTGCCCCGCCTGCCCACCGGCTCCCACCTGCCCCGTTCATTCTGGGCACTGGCCTGCTCGTGGTGCTCGATGCCCATGCTCACGGTGTTGACCAGGATGGCCATCATGATGCCACGGTTGAAGTATTTGCTGTCCACGATGCCCCGCAGCTTGGCCCGTGTCTCCCGCCACACGTCCCCGCACAGCCAGGTTGCCCCGTCCGCCTGTTCCTCCTCCTCTTCCTCCTTGCTCAGGCCTGACGAGGCCCCATCGTCGCTGCTGCGGGCCCCGTCCCCGTCGACCTCATCACCATCATTCTCGCCACCGCTGCTGGAGCCAGAGCCCTCCTGGCCCGAGTCGGGGCTGCCCAGGCCCGAGGGCCGCTGGCCTGCCTCGCGCTGGCAGTGTGGGCAGCTGGCAGGATCGGAGCCCAGCAAGGCAGAGATGGGCTGTACCAGCGTGTGAGGCGTGGGGTCCAGGGGGCTGTGGCGTGGGCACAGCTCTGCAAAGTAAGCAGAGTGAGGGTGAGTGCCAATGCCAGACCCACCCTGCCACCGGCACACAGCCCATATCTCCAGCCAGGACGGCCTGCATGCCCAGTGTGTGCACACAGCCCTCTGCACACAGACCCTGCCCACAGCTCTTAGCCAGGCGTCCAGCAGCCCCTCACAGAACCCACCATGGATCCTGGGGCTGGTAGGCAGTGTGCAGAGTGAATGCCCCTCTGGGGAAATCAAGATGGCCACCTGATCCTACTCTCCTGCCTGTGTGAGGGGCTTGTCGGGCAGGGCAGGGAGGAGGCCTAGGGACCTGGGCCAGGGGCGGGGAGTCCAGGATTGGCTGGAGGGCGGGGCAGGGGTAAAGACCTTCTTGTCCTGGGTGGCACAGACACAGGGGTCTTTAACGACACCTGGGCAGGTCTTACACTTGGGCTCTGTGGTCCCCGAGGGGTACACCAGGACTCCTCCCAGCTATGTTCCCCTGAGTTTCCCTAGAACTAACCCACTTTACTTGTGCCAGCAAACACTTTCTTATCTGGAAAGAGAAACCCTTCATGCCCTCTTCCACCCCCTGAGAAAGCCCACGGACTCGTGCAGTGGGGGAAGGGCACCCCACCTCAGCCCCCATGGGAGAGGTCCAAGCCCCTTTCAGCCCAGCCTCACTGTGCCTGCCCCCAACAGGACATGGGGATGGCAGGGGACCTGGAGGCCAGGGGTACAGCCCCACCACCTCCCTCTAAGAGACCCCAGGAAGCCCCTTGATGTGGACACCCCTCCCCAGCTCCCTACAGACCACATGCCCTGGACAGAGGGTGGCTCACAGCCAGGGAAGCTGGGAGAGGCGGGTTTTCCAGGGCTGGGCCTGGTGGGAAGGACTCCCAAGGATCTAGCGGGCTGCCCTGAGTGCCAAGGCCAGCTCGGGAGTGGGAGACGGCTCGGGCGGCCCAGCGCCTGCCAGTCGCTTCCCTTTATCACCTGGGCGGAAGAGGCCAGGCCTGAGGGCAGGGCCCCTCCTCCCATGGGAGCCGTGCATTAAGAGCAGGAGGCAGGTGCTGTAGGCCAGGACAGCCCAGGGCGCTGAGTCCTGTCTCCCACACGCCGTGCCGCCTTCGGTGACTCCCTCCCCTCCTGGGACGCTTTAGTGTTCCCATCCAGAAAATGGGAACAAAACCTCACACGCTGCTTCCTGCAGCAGAGGAGCTGACGAATGCTCAGGAGAGCCTAACAACCAAGCCCGCAGAAACAGCCAGGCTGGAGGTGGGCTGCGAAGGCAGCAGGTGCGTCCAGCATGCCACGCCCTCGCAGGGGCAGGCCAGGGGCCACCACGCACCAGGAACCCAACCTTGTGCCTCAGTGGTACTGTGGACGACAGCAGCAAACCCGGGCAGGGCGTGATGTCTCAGGAGACTATGGGCAGGTGGCCCCTTCCTTCCAAGTGTGGTTCCTACAGGGGTGCGAAGGAGTCCCTCGAGGGCCAGGGCTGAATTTCTTTAACCTCAGGGCACGTCTGGGCACACGACAGGGAAAAGCAAAGGCCAGAAACGACTGGGGACTAGAGCCCCCTGGGCGGGGGGATCGTAAAGAAAGACCAAGAGTGTCACAGCACACCCGCGAGCTCCCATGCAGCGTGGCCACTTACTGCAGTGCCGGGGCTCCTTGGCTGGGGGCTCGGGCTTGGCAGGGGTCGGTCCTCCCGTGCCTGGGGCCTGCCGCCGGCTCTGCAGGGCCTGGTAGAGGCCCAGGGCCCGGCGCTTGGCCTTGCGCAAGATGTGACAGACGTACTGGAAGATCTCCTCGTAGCAGTCGCCCGGCTCGGCGTAGCTGGCTACGGTGCTGGACGACAGGTAGCGTTGCCGCTGCTCCAGCATCAGCCGGTGCTCCCGCTGCTTGGTCTCCGAGAACTGGGTCGCTATGACAACGAGGCACAGGTTGATCATGAAGAAGGAGCCCACCTGTAACCAATGGGAGGAGAGGACAGGGACGGGGACACAGAGGTGGGAGACGGAGCCACGGGGGGGATAGAGGCACACAGAGGAGGGAACGAAGAGACAGAGCCAAGGACACACCGGAGGACAAACCAGGGGACAGACAACAAGGCCCAGCCGGGGGACAGGGAGGCAAGGACAGAGATACGAGAGAGAGGGGCCAGGCTCAGAGAGGACAGAAACAGGGCACAGGAGACACAAAAGGGGTGCAGGGGAGTGGGCGAGGCCCAGAGACACAGAGAGGCACAGACACGGATGGGGACAGAGAAGATCGCTGAGGCCTCGCCCGAGAAAGGCAATGGCCCAGGCAGCTCTAAACCTTGCTCCACTCACAGACCTGGAGGCTTTAGCACCGAGGCCAGCAACCGAGCCCCAGCCCATGGAGGGCACCCCCTATGGCCAGGGGGACCCTAATCAGCCTCCTGGTTCCAGCCGACAAGAGAAGCTTCCCTTCCAAGCTGCCAGCCAGCAGGTTCTTGCACTCACAGCCTTACCCCCGCCACCCCACCCAGTCTCTTCATCTTTCCCTCCTCTCCCACTCAGCATGGTCGGGGATCCTGGCAGGTAGGACCCCTGTGAGGGACTTCCTGTCCCAGAGGACTCTGGGAAAATCCCTGCCTCTCTGTTGAGAAGATGCCGCCTGCTCTTCCTGGTCTGGGTCGCCCTCAGGGCAGCTCGGCCCAGGTCGAGGTGTGGCCGACAGAGGAGCAGAGGGCTAGGCCGCCGCTGTCCTCTGGGCACTCGCCCATTCAGCTCATGACCGGCCCTGCCTTCCTTGCTGCTGCCTGGGCGACCCAAGCAGGCCCTGCCCGCTCTGCACCTCTACCTCCCCATCTGTAAGATGGACGCTTGGGCAAAACAAGCTCACGATTTGCCTCGTCAGAAGCAGCACCTGGACTAGGTTTGCAGAAGAGTGTATGTCCCAGGCCGTGTGGCCAAGGCCAGGTCCTGCCCTCTTCTGGGGTTCAGGGTGCAGCCGGAGTTGGGAGGGTGAGTCAGGCCCTGCTCCTTGGGGGCCTCCCAGCTCCTGGAGCAGTGCCCTGGGCTTCCCACGAGTACCATGTGTCCTGGAACAGAGCACCAGGGAGCCAGCAATGGCTGCAGGTGCACTGTGCTGCTCCTCCCGGAAAGGCACCCCACGACTCAGAGCCTGTCCTTGGAGCTGTCCTGTCCCCGTTTCCCCACACGCTGGGGGGAGCTGAGGACGTGCCCGGGGCCATGCTGGGAGTCAGCGGCTCCAGAGTCGGCAGGAGCAGCTGACGGAGCCCCTAGGGAAGTAAGGGTTCTTCTAGTGTCCCAAGTGGCATATGCACCCCACTGCAGGACTCACACTGGGTTCAAATGCCCCTACAGGGCTCTCCTCTGCTGAACCCCCAGGACCCTCCAGGCTCAGTGCTGGTACCCCCTCCTCCATGCTGGACCAGGGCTGAGCTCAGCCATCTGTTGCCAACCACCTTTCCCACAAGCCCAGGGGGCAACTCAGGGATACTAGTGGGGTGGCCACTCGCTACTCCCTTCCCAGTACTCAGCTCTGGGTCTGGCACGGGGCAGACATTTCCAATGTCCCAATGAGCACCAGAAGGACAGATGGCAAGGCCAGACACAGCCGGGATCCCTCCTTCCACCTGGGTGTCTCCTTGCAGGCCCAGGAAGGCACAAGAACCAAGCCAACAGCAGGTGTGTCTCAGGTACCTGCTGGCTCATCCTGAGCCCTGAGTCAAGGTCTCTCCCCCAGCCAGGAGGCCAGAGAGTTGAGCTTTGCAGCAGCAGACAGCATGATTGGCCAAGCTGCCAGGAAGGAACTACCTTCCGGGGAGATGAGCTGTGGCTAATGCTGCAGTGAGACACAACAAAGTGCGGGAGCTGGATCTAGAAGGACTAGGCAGGGGGTGGCGAGGCCAGTGTGGCTGATAAAAGCCCCTGCCTCCATTCTAGCTGCTTACAAGGTGGGGAGTCCCTCCAGGTCACCACCAGGGCTTACGTCCTGTCTCCTAACCCAGCTCCGGAAGCAGCCTTGGGCCCCTGTGTCAGAGCCTCATGCTGTCCCAGAACACTGCTGAATGGACGGAGGGATGGGCAAGTGGCTTAACAAGCTGCCATCTTGGAACTGCACCCTCCAGCTGAGGTGGTGCAAGGAATGGGCTCCGGGGGTGTGAGGCAAGCCAAGCAACCTTGATCAGCCAGAGGTGAGAAGTGAAGGCAGTGGGACATGACGCAGGCTTCTGGCCCCTGACCAGCTGCCTCTCCCATCATTGCTTGGCTGAGCTTCAAAGCAGCCCCTCCCGCTGGCTCCCACCTGGCGCTGATGGCACTGACAGACTCCCTGGGGACACTCAGAGGGCCCCCAGGGGACTCAGAGGGCTCCCTGGGGACACTCAAGGGCCTCCCCTGCCTGGGACCGCTGGCCCCGGAGCCCCGGCTGCCCAACACTTACTATGATGAGCAGGATGAAGTAGATGAAGTTGTAGAAGGAGTGTGCGTCCATCACATAGTACATGATCTCCACCCAGCCTTCCAGCGTGATCACCTGAAGCCACACAGGGGCCATGAGGGAGGCAGGTGGCCTGGCTCAGTCCAGCCAGTGCTCGAGAGCTGCCCTTGGGGCACCAAGGACCGCCCCCGCCCAGCATGGCCTCACCTGGAAGATGACGATCCAGGCGTAACCAATGTTGTCAAAGTTGATGGCACCCTTGTGGGGGTTGGCACTTCCAGTGCGACACACGTTGTAGTAGCGGTTCCAGTTAACGCAGAGGCCACTGGCATTGAGGTCCTGGTGCCCAGCCCCGAACTCATAGACGTCGTCCTTGGACAAGCAGCACTCACGGCCCTGCTCCTTGAGCGGGGGGATCTCGTGGCAGCCCATGATGCCGTTGTCGCCCGACAGGGAGCAGATGAAGGGCATCTCATCGTCCTCCTCTGGCTGGTAGTACGGGGGCAGGGCCACGTCTCCCTGGCTGTCCGCCGTGAGGGCAGGTGACAGAGCGGGAGGGATGGGGTCACTGCCACAAAGCTCAGAAAGGAGAGGCCCTGTAGGACCTGTCACAGCCTCCACGCCTCTGTGCAAAAAACCCTGATGGCCACTCGGTCACCTCGATACCTGCCCCCGGCTTCCTTAAGCCACTTTTGGGACAGAGGGAGGTGGGACAATGTGACCTCCCTGGGCCCTACACACTGGTCAGCAAGAAGAAGCTGCTGGCCAGCAAATGAGCCTGGCATCTGCCCTGGGGACACGGCAGGTAAAGCTGCCTCCTGCAGTGCTGGCATCCCACATGGGCACTGGTTCAAGTCCCGGCTGTTCTATTTCCAATCCAGCTCCCTGCTAACGCACTTAGGAAAGTATCAGAGGATGGCCCAAGTGTTTGGGCCTCTGCACCCATGTGGGAGACCCGGATGGAATCCCAGGCTCCTGGCATCAACCTGGCTCAGCCCTGGCAGTTAGGACTATCCGGGGAGTGAACTGGCAGATGGAAGATCTCTCTCCTCTTGCCACCACCTGCAAGTGCTGCAGTGGAGAGAGCCAGCAGACAGGGAAGGGTCTGCCACATCCTGGGCTGGTAACATGCCCCATGTGAACCTGGGCTTCTTCCCCTGCAGGACAAGGTTTACAGGCCCCTCCCCGCCTGGCCAGAGGGCATTAGATGCCTTAGCCCCAATCAGATCCCAGGCAGTGTCTGCCCAGGGCTCCCTCCAGAAGGCTCTCGGAGCTAGCTAGTGGAGCAGCAAAAGAAATAAGTCAAGTGTTCCCAGGAAGATTAATGAGAACCGGCCACTCCACAAGTGCAATTATTAGTGCACTGAGGCACTGTCACAGCAGAGAGAGGCATGTGGGACAGTCAGAGCACAGGGACAAAGCCTCGGCTCTGAGGTCACTGAACACCCATCACGCTGTGCAGGGAAGGATGGGGCAACAGGTGCTTGCCTCTGGCAGATCACTCAATGCCATCTCAGAGGGCCAGTCTGGACAGTTACAACATACACATCTGAGGTAGGGCTGACCTGGCAGGCAAGACCCACATGAAAAAGCCTGCTCCCTATACCAGCTTCCACCAAGGAGGGAACAACAGTGATGCCTTCAGTGGGTGTGCTTCTCACACAGACTGAGTTTCCAGCTCCTGGATGGGCCAGGCCACTGCACACAGCCTAGCCACACCTGCCCACCTGCCTCCAGCAACGACGCCAGTTCTGAGCTAACTACACATCCAGATAAAATTAAGAAATGAACCTTGACCCAAGTGCACCGAATTATTCCGGATGCAACAGAGACCTACATGAGACCTTATAAATACACACCACACTGGGGAACCTGTCACGATCTTGGGTTGGGTAGAGGCTTCCTTCGCTGGACACAAACAGTAATGCTGTGACATCATCCATAAAATGGACTTCATTACAGCTAAGAGCTGCTATTCACACCAAAGAAACTCCACTGCTTCCCTTCTCTCTTTGAAAAACAGAGGAGAGAGGCAGATGTTCATCCACGGGTTCACTCCCCAAGTGCCAGAGCAGGGACAAGTCCAAACCAGGGACCCGGAACTCCATCCGAGTCTCCCGGCTGGGTGGCAAGGACCCACATCCTGGAGCTGTTGTCTTCCACCCTGCGTGGTGCTAGCAGGAAGCCGGATCTGAGGCGGGGCTGATATCCGGCTCCAGGACGCGGGCACTCTGCCCAGTACTGACACTACTCAGAGGAGCAAAGTCGTGGGGCAGGGTAGGGACAGCTTCAGGATCTGAGTCCAGATAACAAGGCCCCCCCACACACACACCCCATAGGAAACAGCCACATAGGATGGAGCACCCAGGGTGTGTGTCCTGAACCCTGACATTGAGAACTCAGGCCTGGAAGCCAGGAAAATGGGAGCCACCCCCTATTCCTCCCTCAGGCCCCATCTCTTCTGGGGGTGGGGAAGGGGTTGCCACAGCACAGGGGTTCCTAACCCAGCCAGGGTTCCCCAGCCTGGTGTCTGCCCCCACCCCTGCCAGGAGCCCCGAGGGCCTGCGCACTCACATGGTGAAGTTCTCCTCCAGGAAGCAGCGGTTCCGCAGCAGCCCCGCCCACAGCTGCACGCCTATGATGCCGAAGATGAAGAAGACGAAGAAGCACAGCAGCAGGACGTTGCCCAGCATGGGCAGCGTGTCCAGGAGCAGGTTCACCAGGATGCGCATGCCTGCGGGGACGGGGGGAGGTCCCAGGGAGGAGAGGAGGGGAGGACGCTGGCACAGGCTCCAGGCTGCCTTCTGCCTGCCTGCCTGGGGTTGCCCCAGGACCCTCTCCCTCAGGTCTGCCTGGACCTTCCCCTTTACTTCCCGTGGATACACACCCTGGAAAGTCCTGGCTCCAGCATTTGGGGAAGGGAACCAGAGCATGGAAGATCTCTGGATGTCCCCATTTGCCTTTCTAATACAATAAAATATTTAAACCAGACGCCAAGAGCGGTCCCTTTGCCACCACAGGCATGCTGTCCCTGGCTCATGTCTCACCCGGCACTCACACAGGGTGCCCCAGGAGGTGCCCGACAAGGCGGTCCTGAACGCCCTAATCACCAGGGCAGTTCCAAGTTGCCCACGACTGTGCCAGGACACAGCAGTACCAGGCAGCCCCGCCCCCACTGCCTGAGGGAGCCAGGCAGAGCCCCTGGGCCACCCTCAGAGAGAAGAGGCCCACAGCTGGGAGGCAGTGGGGGCTGGAGGTGGATCCTGGGGTCCCAGGCAAGGTGATGGGAGGACGGACTATGGGCCGGTGGGCAGGGAGGGACCCGCAGTCTTGAGCTTTCTCCAAAGCTTTCCTCAAAAGGACCCACGATGACAGTAGTCACCCACCAGGGCCCCGGCTCAAGGGAGACTGCACCAAGGTTCAGAAAACCCCACACACAGAGGACACCGGGGCTGGCCGGTTGGCGGGTTCACGGCCGGGTCACGGACCCCAACTTTGAGACCAGACTGCCTCTCCCAAGGCTGGTAGTGGTTACCCCCTGGAGTAGCCTTGGCTACTCTCTCCAACTCTCCCTCCTTCCCTGGCACCCCAAGCTGAGAACCCATGTGACAGCGAGACCCCGTCTATGGGCACCTCTGCATCTTGCGTCCTTGGACAAAGTCTCACGGAGCTCACATGACCCAGGCTCATCCAGCATACGCCCTCCCCCCCGTTCCAGTGATTGGTCCTGAATGGGCATGTGACACCCACCAGGACCTATGAGAATCAGCCCTGGCTGAAAGAGGCACTCCATCAGCACAAAAGGCGTGGTTGGGGCAGGAGGCTGGAGACGCAGCGGCCATCTTGTCCTGGGAGGACACCAGCTGCCTCAAAGGAGGACCTCTGCATGGACAGTGAAGGCCAGGGCCATAGAGAGGGCACGTGCCAGCCATGACTCTATCCTCTACCATAGAAATGGAGGCGCATCACCAGCAGGCTCCTGGCAGCCCACAAACCTCGTAGCGGGGAGGTGGCCTAGCAGGCATCCCACTCACAGCCAGGCTTCCGTTCACCCACACGGACACCTGCTGTTTGCTCGCCATGTCTGAGTCACCTCAGGGTCCCCAGAACCCAGCACACCTGACACTGGGGGGCTGATGGCAAGGGACACTGGTCCCAGCCAGAGGCGTGTTCATCCCAGCGGTGACACTGAGTGGGTTATTAATGAGGATTGCTATATATCTGGTATTTGCACCATGGACTCTGTGCAGTGACTGCCAATCAATAATTAATGTCCACCCCGTCCTCCTCCTCCCCTGAGAAACTAGGTCGCCTCCTAGGAAAGGCAATGGACTCCCTGAAACACTGCCCCCCTCCACCACCAACATACAACCAAGGTGGGAGCTGGGGGTCCCACCTCCCCTCACCTGACAGGGAGGAGCCCTTGGCTAGTGCACCCAACCGAACCTGGTCAGCTGCAGGCCTCTCTGAGGTCTTGTCATGCATTCATTCATCAAACAGATGCCCATCACAGGCCAGGCAGGGGGCCCAGCATGGGCACAGGCCAGGAAGGGCAGCCATGCAGGGAGCCTGTCCCATTGTGCCTGGGGCAGGCCTATGGTATAGCAGGTTGTCCACGTGTCTGGGCCCCTTCACACATGTGGGAGACCCAGAAGGGGTTCCCAGTTTCCGACCATCCCAGCTCTGATTGCTGCAGCCAAAGGCAGTAGATGGAAGACTTCTGTGTAACTCTGCCTTTCATATATATATATATATAATATATAATATATTTTATCACTCCCCACAACACTGTCCTCCCAACAGCCTGGACACTTGTGGGCAGCCCCATCCCCACCCCTGCAGTCTCCATCTGCCCTGCTGGGCGCAGTTCCCCTCACCGCTCTCCCTGCAGCCGAGGAAGCCCAAGGCCAAAGTCGGGGCTTAAGGAGCTAATTAGGGCTGCAGGATGAGCTCATGGCCTCGACAGGAAGCCAGGGAAGAGCCAGCTAATCCTTCTTCAATGCCTACATTCCAGCAGACCGCCTGGTCCCCAGGGGCATGTAACACTATGCTGGCCCCCTGAGTCTGGGCATGCGTATGGGATGCCCAAGGTGGTGGCAGGGAGAAGAGATGGACAGGAGTGACAAAAATGGGCAGAGATAGGAGTGACCGGGGGTGGCTAAGCAAGCAGGCAGAGAATCGCCGAGGCCGGGTAGGCGGAGGGTCGGGGGTACGGAGAATACGCAGGAGCACAAGGACCTTAGGTCACCATTTCCCCCATACATTGTCCAGCCAAGTCCTCCTCCTGCAGGCTGTCTTCCCTCAATCTCACCCCACCCCTCTTCTAAGGACAGGCTGCCCTGCTGCTCTCTCAGTGCAGTTTTTGGGGTCTCCAGGTGGGCACTAGTAGGCAGCAGACCCCACTCCCCCAGTCAAGAACAGGGAAAGAACCCCGGGGTCCCCAGCACAACCAGGATAACCCCCATCGTGGTGCGACCATGAGGCATAGATCTTGGACCGACGTCTGACTCTCTGCCTGTACCCTCACCTCTGACCAGAACCATGGGGTAGCCATGGGACTGGTGGTGGAGGGGGGCCTGATTCCACCGTGTGCAGTCACCAGTCCTCGCAGTCTGGGCTCAGAGGCCAGGGGCCAGGCATGGGAGTACCATGTGTGAGGCATCAGTCATTTGGGATCCAGGAGCTGGAGGGGGGATAGGTTGCCAGGGCCAGTGGTTGGGGCTCACAGCTGGAGCTGCCCAGCAGGTGCTCGTCTGCTCCAAGTGAACCAGGTTGCAGCCAGGCAGGAGCACCTCTAGGAGCACCTAGGAGGGGGCTGCCCCGCAGCCAGCCTCTCCCAGTGAGGTTCGGGGTGTCCACTGCAGACAGGAGCTGTCAGCTCAAATTAGCACAGCCACACTACAGGCCACTCAAGTAGAAATGGCCGAGCACGTGCCAGCTTCTGCCAGGGGCACAGCTGGCGGCCAGGAGGGGAAGCAAGGGCGAGGCGGGTGGCTGCGGCCTGGCCCCCGGAGCTCCCTGTGTGTGCTCTGGGCTGGCCAGGTCAGTGGAGGGCACTGGGTGGCTGGGAGAGGCCGTCTGCTGCTCCTGCCACCATCAGTGCCAACTAATCAGGACCGCAGCGGGTGCCAGGGAGGCCGGCCAGGCAGCAGACGGCCCGGCTGCCACGGTCACAGCTGCTGGCCCCAACCCAGCCAGGGAGTGGCCCGTGGACAGACACAGGCCTGAGTACCTCCCGCAGCCCAGGGGAGGCCTTGGGTCATACCCCAAAGCTGCCCAGGGTTATACCCTGGGAACTGACCAGGCATCCATCTCATTGAAGGTGCCCCCAACCCACTGTGGCCCAAACACCCCCTCCTGCCAACATCCTGCCGCCACCATCGCCTATGTTGCTGCCTACCCGTGCCCCTGCTCCCTGCTCTGGGTGAATGTGTGTGCCTCACCCTGCCAGGAGGGGTGCGTGGGAACCGTGTCACCCCACCCCGGCTCAGCAGCCCAGCAGTGACTGATCTTTTGAATGAATGACTGTATGAATGGGCAGTTCAAGTGGCACTCAGTCTGGTGGCCAGTCCTAGAATCACTCCCTTTTGATTGTGCAACAGAGCTTAGAGCCTGCCTCGTGGGGTGGGGGCTGCCTCCTCTGCCAGCCCCAGGCCTCACCACATGTCCTCCCATGCCACCTCTGTGGAGAAGACCACTCCCTGGGGAGTCAGGCTTCTCCATGGCTCCTCCCTGGGAGGGGTGGACATCCTCCCCCCGTCCTTACCCTGGCTGCCCCTCAAACCCCATGTTCCCAGAGGAAATGCCAGGTCTCCATGGCAACGCCAAGATCTCACTCAACAAATGTCTCTTGAGGGCCTTCCAGCACCCTCCTGTGTTGTGCGCGGCTGCTGTGACCATGACCCTAGTTGGGCATGCATCTTGGCAGCAACGGACTACAGCCCGGGGTGTCAGCAGGTGCCTCAGCTACACAAACCACTGTCCCACCCTGTCCACTGCCCTGGCTCATGCCCCTCAGCCTGCCAGATGCTAAGTCAGCACCATGCGAGCAACCACTGCCCCCTCCCTTGCTGCGAGAGGCGTTCAAAGGTCAGTGACAGACAAAGCACGAGTGGGGACAGGGCCTGAAGGGCCGTGAGGCATCATCACCACAGGAATCCTCTCCTAGGTCCAGAGGTGGGCAAGGGCCGTGGGGACAGGTGGGTGGCTGGGGTCCTGCAACACTGGAAGGATCAGGCGCTGGGGAGATGGCTGGCATAATTGAAGGTTCAAATCCTAGCTGGGCTCCAGGCAGCTGCAGGTTCCTGAAGCCCTCTCTGCCTCAGTTCGCATATATTGAAACAGGCATCACCAGGGCTCGGGGACCGGCTTGCCACAGTTCCCGCCTGTCATCATTCAAGGTGTGAACGCCTCCTCCCCCCACCCCCCAGCACCTCAGCCTCTCGGCCACACTGGTCCCTGCCTAGACCCCATCTTGTCACTCCGTTGGTCCTGCCCAGCAGTCCCTGCCAGTCTGAAGCCATTACAGGACACCATCACGTCCTTTCCACAGCCGGGGAGTTGGTACCTTTCATACCATTGACCCCTTTAAGAATGGAAGAACCCAGGCCCTGGTCCCCTGGGTGGTGAGCAGACCCCCAGAACTTATACCATGTTCTGACTGGCCAGCTCCAGTGCAGGCTGGCAGCAGGTGTTTCTGTCCATGTGTCCTGCCCCTTGCGTGGTCATTGCCCAGGCCCAGCCTGAGGCCCCTGCCAGAAGAAAGGGTACTATTGGACCAGGGATAGTGAGCCCAGACCGGGGTCAGCCTCCTGCCCTCCCCAACGCAGGGCTGCCCTAGTTTTTGTGGAAACATGGGCCCAGGAAAACATTGCTGTGGCTGGAGTGAGGAGTGGGCGGAATCAGGCCTGGGATTAGCCGGTTCAGGGAGGAGGCAAAATCCCAGGATGGGTGACACAGCAGCAAGAAAGCTGCCCTGGGTCTGCAAGGCAGTGCAGGCCACCCCCTGCCCCACCGCTCCCATTCCCATCCAAGCCTTGCCCAGCTGTGAAGAGCCCTCTGCCTGGGCTGGAAAGAGCTGAGACTCCTATGGAAGCCAGCCCTCATCAGGAAGCCAAGACCCCGGGACATCTTAGGGGTACAGTCACAGGGCAGAGCGAGGGTCACACTCTCCAGGCTTCACCTGCATCTTCTAGGATGATGGCGCTCTGCCTCTGCAGCCCTCACTGCAAAAATCCTTCTGTTTATTTTTATTTTGGACAAGACAAAAATTGTGGAACTGTCGGCTCACTCCCAAAAATGCCCACAACCATAGGGCTGGGCCAGGTCAAAGCCAGTACCTAGAAACTCAATCCAAGTCTTATGTGGAATCCTATTTACATGGGAAGCAAGAACCCAAGTACTTGAGTTGTTACCCGCTGCCTCCCGGGGTACACATCAGCAGGAAGCTGGAATGGGAAGCAGAGCCAGGGCTCCAACCCAGGCACTCCAACATGAGATGGAGGTGTCACAGGTACCGTCATAGCCACTACACCAAAAGCTCACCCTTAGGTTGACAATTGCAGGCAACCACCCCACAGTACCACTTGGTCATTAATAACCCACAACTCCATTTTGCCTGGTCTCCAGCTTGCCATCTAGTGGTCGAACTAAAAGCTACATGCCGCTGCTGAAAGAGACTGGGGCAGACAGTGCCAAGGGTGGAGGGCAGGACTTGGGGATACTCTGGAGACAAGCGTATTTAGCCTAGAAGCTAAGACCCCCGTGTTCCACATCACAGGAACTAGGCTCCACTCCAGCTCCAACTTCCTGCTGTGCAGACCTCCGGAGGCAATAGTAACAGTTCAAGAGCTTGGGTTCCTTCTGACCACCTGGGAGGTCTCAACTTCTCAGCTCCTGGCTTGAGGGTCCCAGAGCTACGCTGAAGGTCCTAGAAGGATGCTGGGGGACAGTGTGGTCAGGGGACAGGGAGGATGAGCGGTGGGAGCCACAGCTGACTGCGATAGCTAGCCAGGCCTCAAGCTCCTCCCATGTGTGCATGCCCAGGCATGAAAGACTGCCCCTGGAACGTGCAACCTGGACATCACCCAGACGCCCCTGCAGTCAAGGGCCCTGCTCTGCCCAAACGTACCTGCTCCTCTCAGGAACAGGAGCACTCAGAGCACTGTCCAGACACGGCCGGCTCAGACCACTCTCCTGGTCCAACAATATCCCAGAGCATGGCCTCCACTGCCTGCTCAGCCCAAAGCCCAGAACCATGAGTGCCAGGCCAGCCCACCCAGGCACTCATGCCAGGTGGAGGACACAGGGGTGGGTTTGTGGGCAGGGAGCAGAGGACAGGGCCCCAAAGCTCAGAGCTGGAGAAGTGGTGACAACGCTGACAGTGGAGAAGGTTCCAGAAGACCTTGCTTCCTCTACAGATGGAGGAACCAAGGCTCAGACAGGGAAGAGAGGCAAGCGGCCATACAGAGCCATGGAAAGTTCAGGGGCCTGACCTGCCACAGAATGGCTGTGTGACTTGGCACAAGATGCTTCACCTCTCTGGGCCTCACACAACTGCAGGGTGTTCAGTGCGTGGGGCCGCACAAGGTGGACAGGTGCTGCTAGGAACACCTGTCCCCACATCCCCCAGTGGGATTGCTCCTCTCCTGTCCCCAGCCCAGCGAAGTCCTAGCACAGACAGCAGAGGGGAAGAAGGGGGAGCTGAACCCCCAAGGTCGGTTCATCAACGCAGTGAGACACAAGGGGAAGGGGGTGCTGCAGGGCTCAGGAGAGATGAACACCAGACAATGCAGGCAGGGGCAGGGCTGTGGGGCCCAGAGGACCTCTCTGAACACGCCAGGTGGGCAGAGGGAGAGGCTGTACTGTAAATGTGCCCCCCCCCCCCAACCAGAGTACATGTAGGCTGCTGCTGGGAGGTCACCGGGATTCGATGACGGTGGGAGCCCTCCTGGGCAGCAGACTCCACCACACTCCACATCAGGCAACAAAATCAGCATCTAGTCCTTATCCATCCTTATCCTTATCCTGCCTCAGGTATTTTGTTACAACAGAAACAGACTAGGAAAAATGGATGGATGGGAAGATGCATGGAAGGATGCAGAGATGAAGGAAAGAATAGACAAACAGGTGCATGGAAAGAAGGAAGGAAGGATGGGTAGACCGATGGATGGATGACTGATGGGCAGACAGAAAGACAGAAGGATGGACAGGTGGAAAGATGGGTGAGCAAGCAGGCAGATGAACCTATGGGTGGCGGGGGGAGTGACAGGACTCAAGTTCAGTCAGCTCAAATATGGAGTCAGGAGCCAGGGCACCAGTGACAGGCTCCACACGGCGCCCTCCCAGGGCAGCCTCCTTCCATCTGGTGCCCACCTAGCAGTCTTTGAGACCACCCTCCTGGGGCTTCAATTGTGGAAAGCCAGGACCCCCATGGGCTGCACCCCGACTTTCTCCAACCTCTTTAGGCCCAGGAGCTGTACAAAGGCAAAGGCATATCAGCCCAGCTCTGGCACCCCCATAGTGCTGCTGTGTCTTCTCAGACTGAATGGCCAAGGCCTGGCCAGGCAGGGAGGGCTGGAGGTTGGGCACTCAGACTCACTGGGCACTCGGTTGATGGCTTTGAGAGGCCGCAGGACGCGCACGGTGCGGATGGCCGACAGGTTGATATTCTGCAGGTCCAGGGAATACTCAACCATCCTGTGAAAGAAGGGGAGGATGACGGGTGGAGCCAGGGGACACGTGCCCCACCATGCCCACCAGAAGGGTTAAATGTAAGTGGGGCTTCTGCCAGGGGTCTCAAGTGGGTGTGCACTCCCTCGGCTGTGCCAGCTCTGTTCTCAGACAGAGTATAGGGAGCAGAAACACCAGGCCCCATTGAGAGCCCCCGGCAGCTCAGCACCTCTGCCTGACCTGGAAATGGGGAGGACCATGCCCCCAGCCGGGACTGCCAAGCCCTCAGGCAGGGAGAGCAGAGGTGCAGAGGTGTGCTCAAACAGACCACAAGTGGGACCTGGACGTCAGAGGCATTGGGTCCCACGGGTCACATCCCAGTGTCATCCTTTCTTTTGCCGACACCGGCCACCAGGACACCACAGGCAGGCTGCACCCCCAAAGCTCCAGCCCAAGCCCACGCCCCTGCCAGGCCAACTTTGTCTCCACTGTGCCCGCAGTATGGCTGGACTCCATTCAGACATCCCTGCAGTCCCGGAAGCTTCCCACACCAGAGCCCACCAGGAAACCAATGACAAGCTGGGTTCTGGGCACCCCCAAGTCAGGAGTGCCCGGCGGGACAGGGGAGCCGCCTAAAGGCCAACACGTCCTGGGATCCTCACCACTGCCCTGGCTCTCTTCCCTAGGACCCCACCCAACACCACACATGCCCCCATGCCCCACCGGCCCCACAGCTCCCTGGGAGGCAGCCTGCTTCTCCCAGAGTCTTCCCAGATTCCCCACAGTGGACAGATCTCCATCTGGGGCCCCCTTTGTGGTCCCCTATATTTGCATCAGATCTTACCTGCTCATTTGCAACATACACTGCCCCCTTACTAGAAGACAAGGGACAAGCCATGTGCCAGGGCCAGCAGTGCCAGCCTGAGCCCAGCACCCAGCTCATCAGGCCCCTGTTCTCTCCCACGGGTTGCAGCACTGCAGCTGGCCCCACCTGTCTGCCAACAGGGCTTTTCCTACTCACTTTCTGTCGGGTGTGAAGCCACCGCCCCCTCCTGCTGCTGGAAGAGGGGCTGAGCGGAAGCCCCGGAATGCCCCCCGCTCCAGGCTCGGCTTGCACATGTGGCCATCCACCAGCACAGCCCTCCGTGTGTACACACTCACAGGTGCCCGTTCCTGCTCAGAGTGACAGACTAGAAAGAGACCTGGGGGTCTCCAGGGGGCCAAGAGAGGGAGCAGGAGGGGGAGGGGCCATTCAGGCAGACAGGGATGAGTGCTGGGGGGTTGCCCAGCGGGGAGGAGGGGAAGGACAGAGATGACGAGGCGTGTGAGGATCCCGCGCTCGCACGTGGGTGTGCCAAACTGTCATCTTCCTATTTTGCAGAGCGCTCCAGGCAGCTGGGGAGACGCGTGTGACGTGGCTGTGGGGGCGGCACAGGCAGGCACAGCAGGGCACTCTCACCGGACACACACCGGAGTCTGGGAGGAAGTCAGGCCCACTCCAGCCCCTGCCCTACCCTGCCCAGGGGAGAGGGGACACCTGCGTGCCAGGGCCCAGGGGGCACAGCAACCTAACTCCCACTAAGAGATCCACTGCAGCCTAGGAAGTTAGAGGATAAAAATGAGCAAATGCTCAACAGACAAGTGTATGGTCAAAGAAGTGAACGCCCCTGCAGGCCTACTGTGCGCGGGTCTGCTTCTACTGACTTCCCAACCATACCACTCCACAGATCCCTGGGATGACCCCAAGCCATGGCCTTGGCCTTCAAGCCCTGCACACTGTGGCCCCTGTCCACCTCCACCTAAGCCCAGCTCTACTCAGTGCCCTGGGTACCACACCAGGCTCGTCCCATGTGCTGGGCAAGGCCCTGTCCAGAACCTTCACTCCTTCCCCTCCTCCTTCCAGGGCTGTTCCTCTCTCCCTGCACCAGGATGGAATCCAGCCCTCTTGGCTCTGGCTGCCCCTGCACACCCTCCCATTCACACCTCCTGTCTGCCTCGGGTTCCCCCTAAGCAGACCCACAGCCAGCAAGTAGGGGCCACTGCCTCTTTGGAGGTGATCCCAGAAGTATGTGTGTGTGTGCACAGGAGCAGGTGATACTGTGGGCAGCCAGGCGTAGCCCCAGCCGGAAGCCTAAGAGACGGTGTGTGGGCCCAGGGGGGAGATGTACACTCCCTTAGGGGAGAGACCCGGATAAGGGGGAGCTAGCTCCCCTCCTCCTCTCAGACTCAGCAGGCACTTGGGGAATGGATAGCCTCCAGTCTCTCCAGAAGGCACCTGCTGGGAGCTACTCTTCCCTGCCACCCTCCTCTCCCTGCCCTGGGAGACTGTGGGGAGCCAGGACTCCCCAGTTCCCACTCCACAAGTCCAGAAGTCCAGAAGGGTAACAGGGTGGTGAGAGGCTTTACACCACATGCTGGCTTCCCTCAGGCCCCACATAAGACACCACTTTCCAGCATGGGAAATTAATTCCTAATTACACAGTCAAGTTAGCTCAGAGCTTCAGTGTTCAAAGTAAAAAAAAAAAATCAACAAAAACCCCACTCGTTCCTGCCAGCTTCCAGGTACCTCATTAGGTGAGCAATTCACACCCCCCCCCCAACAGCAAACAGCAAGCCCTTGCGTCCTCAAGTCACCCCAGGAGCCAGTGACAAAGACAGGCCCCAGGGACTGTGCCAGGAGCTGGCAGGGAGGGTGGGCATCCGTCCTGCAGCGATGACCCGGGTCCCAGGCCTGGCCCTCTGTGGAGGTACCAGCTGCCCGGCTCAAGGCAGGCCTGTGGTTGCAGGTGCAGCCAGGACTGAAGGAAGGAGCATTCTCTGTCCCCAGAAAGCGGGTGGCTGTGCCGGCCTCTGGCCTCCGTGGTGTCCTGAGGCCTCTGCCAACACAGAAGGCTGAGGCCAGAGCTGGCAGGAGGCAGGATGCTGACCATATGGCCGGAGCGCCTCCCTGCAGCTGAACCCCAAACCAGCTCTGCCCTCTTCCTCCGGATCCTGGAGCCAAGGCATTCCCCTGGGGGACCGGTTCATGGCTCAGCCCGGCCACTTCAGAAGGATTTCTTGAGCACCTGCCATCTTCCCTCGGGTGGTCTCCCCAAGGCCCACCGTGATACCCACTGCAAGAACCCAACTCACCCATTGCCCCGCCACCTCCCCAGTTGTCAGCTAGGCTGAGAGCACAGGGTACAGGACCGGTGGCCTGGAGGTAGGGGTACCCAGTGGTCAGGGCACACACTGGGTCCCAGCCCCACCTCGCGGGCTGGTATGCTGTGTGGCCTGAGGCAGGCCACATGCACATTCAGTGGCCACGACAGCTTCTGGCATCCGTAAGAGCCAAATGAGTGTGAGCTGTGATCATACCTGAGCTTAGTTTATATTCACTTGCCCTCCCATCACACTGCACCTGCCCAATCCCATTCCTGGGCCTCATCACCTGCCGGGGAGACAGCCTGAACAGGAAGTGCCCCAGAAGCCCACCGACCTCACCCCCTCCCTGCCTATCCAGCACCACGCCCCCTCTCTGCCAAGCCAGGGACAGGAAGAATGCCACCTCCAGGCTGAGCTGGGCTGACGTATCTTGGGTGCCACTGGGCTCCTGGTTGGAGGCCTCCTGCACACTGGCCACCTGGTCCCAGCGCCCAGCCCAGGGCCCGGCTGGCCGGACTCCCCGTGCCAGCTTGTTCAACTAGTAACTCAAGGGATGAAAGACCAGGAAAAAGCCCTGTGGAACTAGCAGAAAGCAGCTCCACAGTCGGAGAGGCAACACCTCTCCAGAAACCATCCTGCCCGGGGGATGTTCACCGGGATAAAAATAGGGGGTTCCCTCCACCTGTGCAAGGCCCTGGGGCCCTTCTCCAAACGTCATTTAAGACACAACGAAGTGGAGGGAACCTGAGCCGCTGGGAACCACACACTGGCTACCAGACAGCAGCTGGGGACAACGCAGGCTCGCAGTGGTGACCCGACCCCTGGCCCATGCACACCACACACAGTAGGAGCTTTATGGAGAGGGTAAGAGAGAGACAGGGAGGAAAGAAACAAGGAAGACAATTAGAATGTGGCCACCTTAGACCCTGACTTCTGAAGGGGAATCCCTGTGGTGGCAGCATTCAGTCATGCAGTGGGGAACCCTATGGGACGAAACAAGCTCAGCACCCTTATAAAAAGCCAAAGTAGGAGCTAAACCAGAGGCATAGCCAGCTAATCCTCCATCTGCAGTGCCAGCATCCCATATGGGCACCAGTTTGTGTCCTGGCTGCTCCACTCTCCATCCATCTCCCTGCTTGTGGCCTGGGAAAGCAATAGAGAATGGCTTCGGACCCTGCACCTACGTGGGAGACCTGGAAGAAGCTCCTGGCTCCTGGCATTAGACCAGTCCAGCTCTGGCTGTTGTGACCACTTGGGGAATAAACCAGCATATGGAAGATTCCTCTCTGTGATTCTTTCAAGTAAAATAAATAATTGTTTTAAATAATAAAAAAAATAAAAGGCAAAATTAAGCCCCAGGAGTTCCCCCCATTCGAGGACTCTGAGACAAGACTGTGTGCAGAAATGGTCCTTGCAGACAGCAAGGGAGCCACACCTGATGCTGCACCTGCTGGCCCGCAGAGCTGAGACACACGCCTCTCTGTTCTGCAAATGAACCAAGTCATCCCCACGTCGCTTCACACAAGCCCCAAAGCCCAGAAGGGCAGGAGTCATGACACACCTGACTCAGGCCAAGCTCCAACCTCAAAGATGCCGGATCTGGGTAGGGCACAAAGTGGAAGGAAGGACTGCCAAGACTCCCCCCCAGATCCCCCACCCACCCTCAGCCCCACCTCCACTCAGGCGACCTTCCTCCAAAGGCCCCTTCCAGGGCTGGGACACCAAAGGCCATTGGACATTCATAATGTCACTCGCAGAACACAAGCGATCTCTCTAAATAAGCCTGCTGTCCATGTACTGACCTTGAGTCCCACCTGCGGTTGACCACCTTGGCAGGGCCAGACGGCTTCCAGGGCCTTCTACAGCCCATCAGGCCAGCGGTT